AAGACTATGTTGCACCCTAGCTAGGCAGGACCAGGTACTTGCGCCCCCCCAAAACAAATGTTGTCAACTTTGTGTGTCTCTTTCTTCCCCCAGCCCCTTTGTGTGTCTCTTTCTTCCCTCAGCCCCTTTGTGTGTCTCTTTCTCCCCTTCCACAGCTCCTCTGAATGTCTTCCCCCAGCACGTTTTTTTTTTCTTGGATTATTGGGGTATCCGTGTTACATTCCAGGTGCCTTTGAGGTTACCGTGGTATTTTCTTTCTGTTTGTACAAACATTAGGAATACCTGTTTACATTCCCCATAACAGAGCCTTCCTTAAAGTTTATGGAGGGGGAAATGACTGTTTATTTCGGATACGTTTTCTCCTTCAATAAATACAATGATCATATAAAACTAAAATGTGCGTTTATTTGTATTCGCTTTGTCATATATTACATTTTGTGTGCATACCTGAAATATTTTCATGAGACAAATATGAATATAAAACACAAGACATCGGAGAGGAAAGAAATAATTTTTCTTGGCACTGTAGAGTCTCTGTATAATGTGAGTTTATAAACTTTGTAATTTTCCTGCCAGTTCTCCAATTTCTTGTTTAGTAAATAGATCCCAAGTGTAAAATAGTCCTTCTACATGTATTCTGTGTAAATGCAACACACAGACATTATACGAAGTAAGCGAGAGACAGCATAATCACACTTTCTCATAGATTTGCTTTTACGAATATGATTTCATTTCCCTTTTACATGAACTGCAGAAATTATGTCACCTGCAGGCACGTGACCTCGTTCTCACAAACTGCAAGGAACGGCGGAGTCACTGTCTGACTCTGGTCTCCCAAGGGCACCTAGTTAGACTTCCGTAGTTCTTAAACATGTTAAGTCAAGAATTAAAATTGGACTCAGTATTTCACAACCCCACCCCCTCCGTAGACATTTAGACATTGTTAAATCAATAATTAAAGCTCCACTCCACTATTCCCCACCTCCCCTACCTCCCCTGGACATTTTGACATTTTTGCAGTGTTACAACCTGGAATTAAAATGCATTCAATGGGGATTTTTTACCATTTGGTTATCAGCAACATTCCTAACACTGTGAATATGTAAGCAATGTTTTATTGTCCCATGTAAGTTAATTAAACCACAAAAATGTAAAGACATTTGTTAGTTGTTTAAGTATTCTCCTTGTTGCTATGACACATTTAAAGCGGAACTGTCATGCCGAACTTACCAATACTTTCCTATGGAAAGGGACCAAATGCGTTTGCAACGTTGGCTGATCTATGGCAATATACCTCAGCACCTGTCATGGTTGAATATATTTATTACCTGTTATGTATTACATTTATATATGTGTGTATATATATTGTTTGTATATTGTATTTTTGTAATTTTGTATCCTATTGTAATAATGCAATGTTTTGTGGACCCAGGACATACTTGAAAACGAGAGAAATCTCAATGTATCCATCCTGGTAAAATATTTTATAAATAAATAAATAAATGTGCATTAGCCCCCTCCCAAGTCGGCCGACCCAGCGCTGAGGGGGAACGCTGAAATTGGGTGAGTATACAAAAGTTTTTTTAACCATTTCAGTACAGGGAATTGGGAGGCGGGAGGAGGGAAGGGGGTCCATAACACTATGAACCCACTGGCTGGATTTTCTTTCTAAACACACTGTAGTCACCACCTGAAGAGCAACTCCTGTGACTCAGATAACAACAAGAGGGAGACAGGCGCCCTCTGGAATCTGTACCATTCCTCTTCAATGGTCATGGTTCATCACTTGGCCAAAGTAGCATCAGGGGAACTTTACTCGAAGTCCCTAGGATAACTGCCCAGAAGGCAGACTGTATGGTGAGGGATGGCAGGGCAACATAGTGGCTGTGAAAGGCGTATGCTGTAAGCTAAAGACAATGCTATCATACTGCGCTGACAGATTCATAGGTCAAAATGCACCGTGGTAACTGCTTCGTAGGCAATTCCCTTCCCCCAGATAATGGTGCACGACCAAGTTTGGGCCACTTCCCGAAACTATAACTCCCCTTCTAACTTTTGGCCTTACATAGTACATTGCTTGGCTCATGTTTTGTTAAGAGGACTCAACCTACTGCTGCTATGGGAGCTGCCCTGAAGGCTGAATGTACAGTGAAGGATGAGTGAATGTTGCGGCGGCTGTGGGAGGTTGGAGGCTAATGTCAGCGTTACCTTATTTTCTTTTTGTTTTTTGACCCCCCAATTATCCCCATTTTCTCCCTCTATTCCCTTCCTCTCTTCATATTCCCACTCAAGAACTATTGGTCTTCTCCTTTCCTTGAGAAGGTAGCTGACGAACCTGTGTTGCGATTGACAGCATAACCTTGGAACACCATGCAACACTTAGTCGTTACACACTGCCTATTATTGGCTTGGTAGACCAATCCTGCTAACTCCCTGACAAAATGCTGCTCTGAGGAGCACACTCTACTTCCATAACGTTCTGCAAACCAACTGCCTGTTTATTTATGTTAACATTGGTTACAGTACCTATTGGCTTTCAACATATGCTACTACTCAGTCTTCTTGCTCATTGTGAACTTTATATTTAAGCATACTGATTTCGCTTTCACTGTGTACACTTTGTTTTATACTGAAAAACCCATATGAAGATTGTAAAAAACAAAACAAAATGTGACACCTGTCATCATGTGTATCATGTTCTGTAAACACAAGCACTATATGCGCCAACAGTTTACGTAATAAAGGATTATAGGGACATTTGATGATGCCAGTAAGGTCAAAACATTCAAATTTCCGGCAAGTTTGTTTGTTTGTGCTGTGGCGTAGATACCCAGTGATGGTACTGAGGTGTACGTAGGTAGTTTATACTGGTTTCATTGAATTTTTGTAATATAAATCCAAAATACATGGGTACGACAATATTTATAATTTTACTTTTCAATAAATCAGTCTGGTTTTAAATATGACGCTTCTACGTCGTTCTTGTAGTAGAAAGAAAAGCATGTAGTAATGGTATGAGATTGTTTTATTTCAAGGAGAGGGCATTCATTGAATTAATATTTAATGAAGATAAGGAAACTTGTTGTGAATGTTCTAACTACATCGTACCCTTATACACTGGCATTGTCACATGCAAGTATGCCTCCTTTTTATCCTCTTACAATGTTTCTACAAACCTTTGGTAAGTGACATGATTGTTAATAAAGTAAACAGACTAATAGCAGATTGTAGTAACGACTTCTATAAACTGAATGAAGCATGCCATTAACATAGGTTGGGTCAGATTCTTTAACTGAAGAAAATCTCTATTGATTGGAACATGACTCACTTTGCTATTGAAATATTGAGAAAGTCCATATATAGTGCTGTATGTTTCCTTTGCCATTACTCTCCATAAATGGCACATTTAATCCACCTGGGAAACAAAGTGTTTATGTCTGTTTCTACTAAAGTATAATATCAGACCCTTTAATTGGGTGATTGAATGGGTTGATGAGTGGGTTGGTGGATAAATTGATTGTTAATTGGTCAAATAAATGTTGCTGATCTGTGTTATAACATTCAATGTAATTTATAATTAAGTTATCAAGCTAATTTCAAAAAATGCATCAGTAGTAGGAAGGAACCCAATTCAGCATCCCTTTGAGGACTAGGTATTCCTGATCTCGACTATTATGGAGTGGTCATTTTATTCTTCGATTAACTAACTCAGGGGTAACAATTGGACAGGAATATTATCACATTCTATTTCATGTTCTTTGGACCCACAAACAATATATCCCATATTATTCGTTTGACTCTCTGACAGCACTTCCTGGAATGTTTAGGATTACACATAAAGAAGGTCCATCGCTCCTCTGGATATAACACCATTGAACAAAAACTTTGACAATCACCCATAAATTTTAAACACCCATAAAGTGTTATCGTTTAAGCCTCATTTCTATACATGGAGAATTACATTTATTGTCTCAAAAAAATAAATAACACAAAAGGTGTAAGATTAACGTGTCCGTATGAGCGCAAAGAGGAAGACTTTGGAAAAAAAACAAAAACACAATGGTAAATATGGTGCATAGTCAAAGGTGACCAAATAAAGGGAGAAAGCAATATGTAACACTATTTATATGTGACCTTCATTGTCTCCTTGTCCCCTTTATGGAACATATTTGATGGAAACCTATCTGATTGATTTTCAAAGTCGTTGCTTGTTAGACACTTTAACTACCTTCAATAAAATAAAAAGATCCGGCTTCAAGTTAGGAAATAGGCATTAGTAACCCCATTTAAAGATTATGCAGTAGATATATGTAGTGGATAAACCATGTCAGTGCTTTGTAATACATGCATAATCCTCTATTCAAATGGTAATAATGATAAAATAAAATAAAGCAGATATATATGTGGCTTAGCTAATACAGGTTATTTATATAATGTTAGGGTATACAAAATGACCAGCAGGAAAATAAATTACAGGACATATGGAAACCTAGTTTCAGACAATTTGTTAACTTTTGAAGTTTAAAATAAGGCAATTGGATTAAACAGAGGAGGAGTAAACACAGCATGTAGAGTTAAATGGACAGTCTAGACCTCTAAAGCACTTCGACTCTTTTTTTAACTTTGCAAAAATTACAATGAAAATTGACAGATTATTAATGTGAGTTTTACTGCTGTGGAGCTCTGTGAACCACTTATACACTCCAAATATTATTGTGACAAACTCATATACACCATGTTACTGTGAATTTGATTGCTGTGGAGCTCTGTGATATGCTGATATATACCACTTATTAGTATGATTTTTTGGCAGTGGAGCTCTTGATATCGTACATTCCAGATATTACTGTGCGTTTACGGCTCTGGAGTTCAAAGAACACGTATACACACTGCACAATCTAAGTTCATTAGTATAGAGTAGAGATGTTGCGAACCGTCCGCGAACTTCTCGCGAACCGTTCGCGGCGAACTCCGGTCAGCTGACACATCCCGGCCAATCTCCAGCAGACCCTCCCTCCCAGAGCCTCCTACTTCCTGGACAGCATCCATGTTGAAGGCAGCTGGAGATTGGCCGGGATGTGTCAGCTGACCGGAGTTCGCCGCGAACGGTTTGCGGACGGTTCGCGACATCTCTAGTATAGAGCTGAATGAAAGAGTAATCTGGTTCTCAGAGTCTTTAATCAGAAAGATATGTCTATTTACACTGATTGAGACACGGCATTTGATGTACTAGTCATTTTATACTTTAAAACAGCAGGATCAGGTGCAATGCCAATATATCAGTGACTTCTGTCTTTGTAGTTTGTTCTTTATTCAGTAACTATTGGAATCCAACTGACGGGGCAAAAAATGGGAGCACGTGTCTCCATTGGCATTTAAGCTTTAGAAAATTGATTTTTCATTACAAATATGACATTAAAGTTCAATCGAATTTATCCGGGACAGATTGCTAGACAGTTATTACAACATTACAGAGTAGCCACTAGACATGTGATGGGGTGACTCATCACTCAATTAAATATACATATATTTTCACTATGAGAAACATCTCTTCCAGTTTCTTTCAGTTTGTGTCTTGACCAGAGACTGTAAAAGCAGATCTGAAAGTGCTCAACAGAAAAACGTATAACTTTATCCTTTACTTACCAATTAAACCGATCCTGTATATTGGGACAGATCTAGGGTATTATGTATAATGTAAAATATGTTTCCCAACAACTGATAGAATGTTTTTGGGCAGTTTGAAAATGTAATTTTTGTGTGTATTATGGAGCAATAATCCGCTCCACAATTTATATTGAATAGAATTTTGCTCTTTCTATTTTGCAGTTGGTAAGGGGGCTAGCCACCCAACATCCGTTAGTGCCTTGTATTGTTTAGTAGGCGTTGTGGAGCAAAGCTTTCTTTTTGTTTAGTAGGCGTTGTATTTTTGTTTATTGCTGCCATATATTTGAAAAACAAACATACAGAGGATTTTAAAACCTAAACCAGCATTTGAAAATTAGTTTCTGCTTTTGAAAACCCATGCGTTCACTCTGATCCTTTATAAATACTATTTACTATAACATGATCCAGTTTATAAATACTATTTACTAAAACAAACAAGCTTACAAATTAATTAACACATAAGGCAAAACAAACAAGATTACAAATTAATTAACACATATGAATATTCCAACTTCGCTTAGTAGAATTTATTCCAGTTTTAACATGGATAGTAGAAAAAAATATCAAATTAGAAGGGCTAGGACTGCACAGACTGCTCAATCTTTTTGAATTATCACTCATAATTAAAACCATCTCTATAAGAATATAAGAATGTTAACAGTATTCCAAAATATTAACTTACAATCATTTGCAGGAGTGAGGAAGAATTATTGGGGGTCAGAGCAACGTTAGTTTCACTTTGCTAAAGCTTGGACTGGCCTCTTCGTGTAAACCATGTCTTTCTGTTTTTAAGCATTAGTTCAATAAACAAACAAAGACTCAACAATACAGAGATAGAGAGGAAAAATCCTTTCCTTAATGCCTGAATGAGGTATACTTGTTAGGCTTATGCATTTTGTCCACAGGACAAGCCAACAACAATGCATTTTCTTGATTTCAGTGCTGTATGAGAAGGAAACAAGTCGGAAATAGTTGGATACTTGGTATCTCGTCCCATACTCATGTTTGGCCAAGCTGTATATTGACCAGTGAATAGTAGACTCCTTTCTGCTGTATGAGCTGTTGATGTGTCCCTTGTTCTACAATCTGTCCATTCTGGATCACTGCAATTTTATCCGCATTTTGGACAGTGGACAACCGATGAGCTATCACAATACAAGTGCGACCTTGTCTGGCTTTGTCCAGAGCTTCTTGTACCACCTGATAGACAACACAAGGCATTATGTAAGTGACAACATCTACAATAGTGCACATGATTTTTAGATACAATTATGAAGACATTTTTTTTGGGACAATTTTGAAGGTCAAAGAGGAATGTTTGTTTCTCAGCTTGTGTTTTGAAGAGAGCAAATATTAGATTGCACTTGGCTGTAATTCATTATTATTGATTAGATTCTAAATCTCAACACTTTTCACAAACATCTTTATCACTTATCTACTAAAACATGGAAGAAAACGCTCCAGTGCTGTAGAATATGAAACCGGATTGTTGTACATAAATCTTAGTTCAAAGTGAAAACCTTCACACTAAAATATAAATTATATTGTTACTATGTACAATATACAGATCCAGATTTACATCCCATATTGTACAAACTTGCATCCAAACTTGCATCCAAAAACCCACAAAAGAAAAAACGTATAGGGTGACGTTAACATTTAATCATGCCCAATAAACGCTATCTTGAAGCATTAGAATAAACATTTCATTAGGAAATGACATTGTAGGCAGTGTGAGAAACTATTTATACAAAGGAAGAGGTGGATAGCTGACCTTTTCACTCTCTGTATCCAGGGCAGATGTAGCTTCATCCAGTAGAAGTATTTTGGGTTTCCGTACAAGAGCTCGAGCTATGGCTATCCTCTGCTTCTGTCCTCCAGAGAGCTGGGTCCCTTTATCCCCAACACGTGTGTTATATTTCTAGCAGAGACGGAGGTAAGAAGGTTATAAATAAAACATGACTACTATAAATAAGACAAACATAGTATTTAAAAACCTAATTATACCAGCACATAAAACACATCCAATGTTTAGGAAGAAAGATAAGTCAAAGCACACTGGCTGATGGATATATGTCTGTATGGGTAAATCACTCTACATTACTGCTATAAATAAGCAATTTACTAAAATATTGTTTTATTATAAATCCACAAGACTGTATGTATGGGGCATAGGCTAAGAGCTGGTAAAGTCACTAACTTGTTTCAGACAGTTCTATTTCATGGCAAGCATGCATATTGAAGGAAAACGTGTGGTTACAACTGCATTATTGAAAGAATCTCCCTCTTTGCATGAATCAGTATAAAGCCACATTAATGATAATTCTGCATGAAATGTCCATGATTATCAGAAGAGTATTGAATAATTAGACAGTACAAAATGTGAACATTCAACTCACATCTGGTAAAGATACAATAAAGTTATGGATATTGGCTTCTCTTGCTGCCGTTTCAATCTCCTCTTGTGTCACCTTTCTGCTGTTGTCACCATATGCAATATTGTCGGCAATGCTGCAGTCAAACAACATGGGTTCCTGGGAAACTATCCCCATCTGTGCTCTGAGCCACTGGATGTTCAGGCTTTTCACACTGTTGCCGTCCACACACTAGGAGTAAAATACATTTTAATTAGAATCCCATTAATACTGCAGAGTAACTTATGCATTCTAACCCAACACATTCTAAGTGTCAGCATTCTGCGCAACAACATTCCATATGTCAGTATTGTCAACTTCAGCACTCTAAACAAGTTTTAAACAACAGCATTTTCAGCTTCGGCATTTAGCCGTCGGTAATTTGAACTGAGTTCAGAACTTCAGCATTCTGAATAATAGCTGTCTGACATCAGTATTCTGATCAGCATTTTTATTTTAAGCATTCTGAATGTCCTCATTCACCTTTCCAGAGTGTGCAGGGAACTGCACTCACTCCCATCAGTCTGAGCCAGGGTGCTTAGCTGTACCAGAACTAAACACCAGATTTCCATATAAGTAGTATAACAAAGGAAAGAGGTCCAGGCACTCTTTGGTTCAAGAATAGGCAGTTTATTGGAACCACAGCAACGTTTCGACCTTTTCAGCCTTTATCAAGCTTGATAAAGACCGAGAAGGTCGAAACGTTGCTGTGGTTCCAACAAACTGCCTATTTTTGAGCCAAGGAGTGCCTGGACTTCTTTCCTTTGTTATACTCATTCTAATTACTGCCATGTAAATATTCCAAACATGCCAATTACACATTTTTGATTGGCCTGTTGTTTTTTCAACTGAAGAAATGTTGTTTAATGGAATGGAACAGTGATATCACATATACAGCTGGCTGAGAATCAGAGGAACTGCGGTTCAGACACATCTAGGGTTTCATGTTTAGCCATCAATGACAAAAATGTTCAGGCAAAATGTAGTATTTATTTTTTGTTTAAATGTAAGCATTTTTTGTGGTACTAGGTATTGGATTCACCTGGGATTATTTCTCTGGGATCACTTTCCATTACTAGATTTTATAAAACTTGGCATAAAAAGGTGCATATGTAGTATATGTAATATCCTAAAATCCTGCACATGAGAAGGCTGCTTAGACTGTTTCTTTTAAAAGAGCACAAAAACGTATAGCCTGCTTACCACATCTCCATCATGTGGTTCGTAGAACCTCTCCAAAAGTTGGACAGTTGTACTTTTGCCGCATCCACTGCTGCCCACCAGTGCCAATGTTTCTCCATTTTTCACTGTCAAATTTAGCCCCTGAAGAACCTGGATATCGGGCCGGGTCGGGTAATTAAACTGTACACCTTTAAATGTCACGTTTCCATCACAGTATTGCTGCAAAAAATTAACAAAGGCTTGAGTTATTGCAGCCTGACTTTGGGATGTAATACATTGATCAATTTTGCTGCATTTAATAATACTGCAATTAAAAATACAAAAATTGACCAGTTCAAGTATTAATGTGTACAATATGTCCATGTACATCATTGGCTGATAAAAATCACACTTCACTTAATATCAGAAGGCAACATATTACTATTAGTTAATAATGCATATTTCACAACGTGAGAGTTTTAGGAATAGGTTTATTCCTTCTAGTGGAAATCTATTGGAAAATACAATCAATACATGTTTTATACCAGTAAACAACAGTAAACAACAGTGTTAAATGACAGCAAGGTGCCCTGCAGAGAAACATATTAGGGCATGACTACTAATACTTTTGCTGCCTACTTTCCTCCCTCTCCAATTCTTACATACTTTACATTTCAATTAGAATGTCCATATAACACACAGAGATGGGTATGAAGTGGAGAACCTCAACATCAATGGGTTAATGCATCATCAGTTCTACTCCTGGGGGTTGCAGGGTCAATTCCCGGCAGTGGTGACTCAGCCCTTCATCCTTCCGAGGTAGATAAAATGGGTTCCCTTAAACTGGATAATAGGAACATTCCCTGGATGTTGGACAAAATTAACATCTCCAGGTTGTACTTGGAAACTAGAGTAATCTGAGTGTACCTTTCCTGGTTAAATGTTTTGTTATTATTACCTGCACTATTTATAAAAAAAAAAAAGTATTGTATTTCTGTTTGTAGGGTAACGAATCATGTTTAAAAATTAAATTTTGATAACATCACAAAACTGTAAATGAAAAATAAATTCACAGCTCTAAATTGTCTTTACTATCATACTTTATTCTATACATAGTTTGTCTTTAGCATCCCAAGTCTAGTTTGCCTGTAGTATCCTCTGTGCAGTTTGCTTTTACTATCCTACGTTTAGTTTGTGTATACTATACTATTCTACATGTAGTTTGCCTTTACTATCCTACATGTAGTTTGTGTATACTATACTATCCTACGTGTAGTTTGCCTTTACTATCCTACATGTAGTTTGTGTATACTATACTATCCTATGTGTAGTTTGCCTTTACTATCCTACATGTAGTTTGCCTATACTATTCTACATGTAGTTTGCCTTTACTATCCTACATGTAGTTTGTGTATACTATACTATCCTACGTGTAGTTTGCCTTTACTATACTACATGAAGTTTGCCTTTACTATACTATGTGTAGTTTGTGTATACTATACTATACTACATGAAGTTTGCCTTTACTATACTATGTGTAGTTTGCCTTTACTATCCTACATGTAGTTTGTCTATACTATACTATCCTACATGTAGTTTGTCTATACTATACTATGCTACATGTAGTTTGCCTTTACGATCCTACGTGTAGTTTGCCTTTACTATCCTACATGTAGTTTGTGTATACTATACTACATGAAGTTTGCCTTTACTATACTATGTGTAGTTTGTGTATACTATACTATACTACATGAAGTTTGCCTTTACTATACTATGTGTAGTTTGCCTTTACTATCCTACATGTAGTTTGTCTATACTATACTATCCTACATGTAGTTTGTCTATACTATACTATGCTACATGTAGTTTGCCTTTACGATCCTACGTGTAGTTTGCCTTTACTATCCTACGTGTAGTTTGTCTATACTATACTACGTGTAGTTTGCCTGTACTATACTACGTGTAGTTTGCCTTTACTATCCTACGTGTAGTTTGTGTATACTATACTTTACTACATTTAGTTTGTCTATACTATACTATGCTACATGTAGTTTGCCTTTACTATCCTACGTGTAGTTTGTCTATACTATACTACGTGTAGTTTGCCTTTACTATACTACGTGTAGTTTGCCTTTACTATCCTACGTGTAGTTTGTCTATACTATACTACGTGTAGTTTGCCTTTACTATACTACGTGTAGTTTGCCTTTACTATCCTACATGTAGTTTGTGTATACTATACTATACTACATGAAGTTTGCCTTTACTATACTATGTGTAATTTGTGTATACTATACTATACTACATGAAGTTTGCCTTTACTATACTATGTGTAGTTTGCCTTTACTATCCTACATGTAGTTTGTCTATACTATACTATCCTACATGTAGTTTGTCTATACTATACTATGCTACATGTAGTTTGCCTTTACGATCCTACGTGTAGTTTGCCTTTACTATCCTACGTGTAGTTTGTCTATACTATACTACGTGTAGTTTGCCTGTACTATACTACGTGTAGTTTGCCTTTACTATCCTACGTGTAGTTTGTGTATACTATACTTTACTACATTTAGTTTGTCTATACTATACTATGCTACATGTAGTTTGCCTTTACTATCCTACGTGTAGTTTGTCTATACTATACTACGTGTAGTTTGCCTTTACTATACTACGTGTAGTTTGCCTTTACTATCCTACGTGTAGTTTGTGTATACTATACTACATGTAGTTTGCCTTTACTATACTATGTGTAGTTTGCCTTTACTATCCTACGTGTAGTTTGTGTATACTATACTACATTTAGTTTGCCTTTACTATACTACATGTAGTTTGCCTTTACTATCCTACGTGTAGTTTGTGTATACTATACTATACTACATTTAGTTTGCCTTTACTATACTACATGTAGTTTGCCTTTACTATCCTACGTGTAGTTTGTGTATACTATACTACATGTAGTTTGCCTTTACTATACTATGTGTAGTTTGCCTTTACTATCCTACGTGTAATTTGTCTATACTCTACTATCCTACATGTAGTTTGCCTTTACTATCCTACATGTAGTTTGCCTTTCCTATACTATGTGTAGTTTTCCTTTACTATCCTACGTGTAGTTTGTCTATACTATACTATCCTACATGTAGTTTGCCTTTCCTATACTATGTGTAGTTTACCTTTACTATACTATGTGTAGTTTGCCTTTACTATCCTACATGTAGTTTGCCTTTACTATCCTACGTGTAGTTTATCTTTACTATCCAAGAACTATTATTCAAATAAACAGAGAAACAAAAAAAGTTTTATACATAACATGTGGGGAGAAAGGTTCCATTTTTTTAATACAACATAAATACAGCAACAGTTACTTACTGGTGCCTCTCCATGGCTGCTGTAGCTGTCAATCAGTGGATCTCGTTCCAATAAACTGAATATATGGGATGCCGACATTTTTGCTTTTGCGTAGTCTGGCGCAAAGGAACTGGTCTGGCCCAAAGCCATTGCTCCAAACACAATGGCTGAGAAAACCCTAGGAAAGCAATACAGTGCAATATTGTCAGGTTTGTTTGTGATTTTGGAAGCCCAAATGAACAATGCTGTGTCATGGGACAACACAGGTCTTCAGAAAGTACTCATATGTATCTAGAGCCAAAAACATGCTTGGGTCAAAACCGATGTTTATTGAGGAGCAGGCCACCATTAAAGGAAGCCATGGAAACATGGCCTGGAATCTTATATGTCAATCAGAAGTGTATGTTATGCTAGCTGCAATGGGTGATGAAAGTCACAGTCTTTAAAACTGCAACATTTAATAGATACAAAAGGATTCTAATGAGGACTGTTTTAATCTATTATATGTAGAAGTAATGGTTCACCCATTACTGCATTTAATCAATACATAAAGCATAGATTACATTGTATTTCCAAAGAGTAATCCAATAGTGGGTATCAGATCAATCTTAAAAAAGTATCTAAAGCATTAATGCTCTTTATGAAACCTCAATTATGTTTACCTTGTAAAAAACATGTCACATACTAAACAAACTGCAGACTGATACATACAATATGGTAACTTATATGAATGTATAGCTACATGAATGTAAGTGTCATTACACATTCTATTAACACAAGCATGTAGGGTCCCACAGAACTATCGTAATTAAGTCCTGCACTAAAAGTCCCACTACTTCTGAGTGGCAGCAATGACTATAGTACACAACAGCTGAAAGGGCCACATTTTCATTTGCCCTTGTGGGCCATTGTTTATTTCTCAGAATGGCATAAACACTCACAGAAAAACATCAGCAAATTCCATTGCGCCGGTAGCCACCAGGAACGCCCCAAACCTGAAACAACCGGCGTATGCAAAAAACATGATGGCTTGAGAGAGGCCAAAGGTCGCTCCGTGTATATGTGCTTTCTTGATGGAATTTCTGAAATAAAGATTGATCAAAAGAGCAAATAAATGAATACAACTATTTTACAGTGTATAAATTATTACATGCAAATAGCAAAAGTAGTTATGGTGCCTGGAGTGTTCTAGAAGTGTGTCCAAGTACACACTGCACATTACTGGGGGCTCTGTAATATCCCAGTCCACACTGCACATTACTGGGGGCTCTGTAATATCCCAGTACACACTGCACATTACTGGGGACTCTGTAATATCCCAGTACACACTGCACATTACTGGGCTCTCTGTAATATCCCAGTACACACTGCACATTACTGGGGGCTCTGTAATATCCCAGTGCACACTGCACATTACTGGGGTCTCTGTAATATCCCAGTACACACTGCACATTACTGGGGACTCTGTAATATCCCAGTACACACTGCACATTACTGCGGGCTCTGTAATATCTCAGTACACACTGAACATTACTGGGGGTTCTGTAATATCCCAGTACACGCTGCACATTACTGGGGGCTCTGTAATATCCCAGTACACACTGCACATTACTGGAGGCTCTGTAATATCCCAGTACACCCTGCACATTACTGGGGACTCTGTAATATTCCAGTACACACTGCACATTACTGGGGGCTCTGTAATATCCCAGTACACGCTGCACATTACTGGGGACTCTGTAATATCCCAGTACACGCTGCACATTACTGGTGGCTCTGTAATATCCCAGTACACACTGCACATTACTGGGGACTCTGTAATATCCCAGTACACACTGCACATTACTGGGGGCTCTGTAATATCCCAGTACACCCTGCACATTACTGGGGACTCTGTAATATCCCAGTGCACACTGCACTTTACTGGGGGCTCTGTAATATCCCAGCAAACACTGCACATTACTGGGGACTCTGTAATATCCCAGTACACTCTGCACATTACTTTGGACTCTGTAATATCCCAGTACACACTGCACATTACTGGGGACTCTGTAATATCCCAGTACACATTGCACATTACTGGGGGCTCTGTAATATCCCAGTACACCCTGCACATTACTGGGGGCTCTGTAATATCCCAGTACACCCTGCACATTACTGGGGGCTCTGTAATACCCCACTATACACTGCACATTACTGGGGGCTCTGTAATATCCGAGTACACGCTGAACATTACTTGGGGTTCTGTAACATCCCAGTACACGCTGCACATTACTGGGGGTTCTGTAACATCCCAGTACACGCTGCACATTACTGGGGGCTCAGTAATATCCCAGTACACACTGCACATTACTGGGGACTCTGTAATATCCCAGTACACACTGCACATTACTGGCGACTCTGTAATATCCCAGTACACTCTGCACATTACTGGGGACTCTGTAATATCCCAGCACACGCTGCATATTACGGGGGGCTCTGTAATATCCCAGTACACACTGCACATTACTGGGGACTCTGTAATATCCCAGTACACACTGCACATTACTGGGGACTCTGTAATATCCCAGTACACACTGCACATTACTGGGGACTCTGTAATATCCCAGTACACACTGCACATTACTGGGGACACTGTAATATCCCAGTGCACACTGCACATTACTGGGGACTCTGTAATATCCCAGTACACTCTGCACATTACTGGGGACTCTGTAATATCCCAGTACACACTGCACATTACTGGGGGCTCTGTAATATCCCAGTACACACTGCACATTACTGGGGGCTCTGTAATATCCCAGTACACACTGCACATTACTGGAGGCTCTGTAATATCCCAATACACACTGCACATTACAGGGGGCTCTGTAATATCCCACTACACACTGCACATTACTGGGAGCTCTGTAATATCCCAGTACACACTGCACATTACAGGGGGGCTCTGTAATATCAGTACACACTGCATTACTGGGGACTCTGTAATATCCCAGTACACACTGCACATTAGTGGGGCTGTGTATCCCAGTACATGCTGCACATTACTGAGGGGCTGTGTAATATCCAGTACCGCTGCACATTACTGGGGGCTCTGTAATATCCCAGTACACACTGCACATTACTGGGGGGCTCTGTAATGTCAGTACACACTGCACATTACTGGGGACTCTGTAATATCCCAGTACACACTGCATTCTGGGGGCTCTGTAATATCCCAAGTACACCTGCACATTACTGGGGACACTGTAATATCCCAGTACACTGCACATTACTGGGGCTCCTGTATTATCAGTACCTCTGCACACATTACTGGGGACTCTGTAATATCCCAGTACACACTGCACATTACTGGGGGCTCTGTATCCCAGTACACTCTGCACATTACTGGGACTCTGTAATCCCAGTACACACTGCATTTACTGGGGACTCTGTAATACCCCAGTACACACTGCACATTACTGGGGACTCTGTAATATCCCAGTACACTCTGCACATTACTGGGGACTCTGTAATATCCCAGTACACACTGCACATTACTGGGGGCTCTGTAATACCCCAATATACACTGCACATTACTGGGGGCTCTGTAATATCCCAGTACACGCTGAACATTACTGGGGGTTCTGTAACATCCCAGTACACGCTGCACATTACTGGTGGCTCTGTAATATCCCAGTACACACTGCACATTACTGGGGACTCTGTAATATCCCAGTACACACTGCACATTACTGGGGACACTGTAATATCCCAGTGCACACTGCACATTACTGGGGACTCTGTAATATCCCAGTACACTCTGCACATTACTGGGGACTCTGTAATATCCCAGTACACGCTGCACATTACTGGGGGCTCTGTAATATCCCAGTACACACTGCACATTACTGAGGGCTCTGTAATATCCCAGTACACACTGCACATTACTGGGAACTCTGTAATATCCCAGTACACACTGCACATTACTGGGGACTCTGTAATATCCCAGTACACACTGCACATTACAGGGGGGGCTCTGTAATATCCCAGTACACACTGCACATTACTGGGAGTTCTGTAATATCCCAGTACACACTGCACATTGGAGTACACATTGCATATTACTGGGTACTCTGTAATATCCCAGTACACACTGCACATTACTGGGGACTCTGTAATATCCCAGTACACACTGCACATTACTGGCGACTCTGTAATATCCCAGTACACACTGCACATTACTGGGGACTCTGTAATATCCCAGTACACACTGCACATTACTGGGGGCTCTGTAATATCCCAGTACACTCTGCACATTACTGGGGACTCTGTAATATCCCAGTACACCCTGCACATTACTGGAGACTCTGTAATATCCCAGTACACGCTGCACATTACTGGGGGCTCTGTAATATCCCAGTACACACTGCACATTACTGGGGACTCTGTAATATCCCAGTACACCCTGCACAATACTGGGGGCTCTGTAATATCCCAGTACACCCTGCACATTACTACCGGGGACTCTGTAATATCAGTACACACGGCACATTACTGGGGGTTCTGTAATATCCCAGTACACACTGCACATTACTGGGGGCTCTGTGATATCCCAGTACACACAGCACATTACTGGGGGCTCTGTAATATCCCAGTACACACAGCACATTACTGGGGGCTCTGTAATATCCCAGTACACACAGCACATTACTGGGGGCTCTGTAATATGCCAGTACACACAGCACATTACTGGGGGGCTCTGTAATATCCCAGTACACACAGCACATTACTGGGGACTCTGTAGTATCCCAGTACACACTGCACATTACTGGGGACTCTGTAATATCCCAGTACACACAGCACATTACTGGGGGCTCTGTAATATCACAGTACACACTGCACATTACTGGGGACTCTGCAATATCCCAGTACACACAGCACATTACTGGGGGCTCTGTAATATCCCAGTACACACTGCACATTACTGGGGACTCTGTAATATCCCAATACACACAGCACTTTACTGGGGGCTCTGTAATATCCCAGTACACACTGCACATTACTGGGGATTCTGTAATATCCCAGTACACACTGCACATTACTGGGGGCGCTGTAATATCCCAGTACACACTGCACATTACTGGGGACTCTGTAATATCCCAGTACACACAGCACATTATTGGGGGCTCTGTAATATCCCAGTACACACTGCACATTACTGGGGACTCTGTAATATCCCAGTACACACTGCACATTACTGGGGGCTCTGTAATATCCCAGTACACACTGCACATTGCACAGGGGGCTCTGTAATATCCCAGTACACACTGCACATTACTGGGGACTCTGTAATATCCCAGTACACACTGCACATTACTGGGGACTCTGTAATATCCCAGTACACTCTGCACATTACTGGGGACTCTGTAATATCCCAGTACACACTGCACATTACTGGGGGCTCTGTAATACCCCAATATACACTGCACATTACTGGGGGCTCTGTAATATCCCAGTACACGCTGAACATTACTGGGGGTTCTGTAACATCCCAGTACACGCTGCACATTACTGGTGGCTCTGTAATATCCCAGTACACACTGCACATTACTGGGGACTCTGTAATATCCCAGTACACACTGCACATTACTGGGGACACTGTAATATCCCAGTGCACACTGCACATTACTGGGGACTCTGTAATATCCCAGTACACTCTGCACATTACTGGGGACTCTGTAATATCCCAGTACACGCTGCACATTACTGGGGGCTCTGTAATATCCCAGTACACACTGCACATTACTGAGGGCTCTGTAATATCCCAGTACACACTGCACATTACTGGGAACTCTGTAATATCCCAGTACACACTGCACATTACTGGGGACTCTGTAATATCCCAGTACACACTGCACATTACAGGGGGGGCTCTGTAATATCCCAGTACACACTGCACATTACTGGGAGTTCTGTAATATCCCAGTACACACTGCACATTGGAGTACACATTGCATATTACTGGGTACTCTGTAATATCCCAGTACACACTGCACATTACTGGGGACTCTGTAATATCCCAGTACACACTGCACATTACTGGCGACTCTGTAATATCCCAGTACACACTGCACATTACTGGGGACTCTGTAATATCCCAGTACACACTGCACATTACTGGGGGCTCTGTAATATCCCAGTACACTCTGCACATTACTGGGGACTCTGTAATATCCCAGTACACCCTGCACATTACTGGAGACTCTGTAATATCCCAGTACACGCTGCACATTACTGGGGGCTCTGTAATATCCCAGTACACACTGCACATTACTGGGGACTCTGTAATATCCCAGTACACCCTGCACAATACTGGGGGCTCTGTAATATCCCAGTACACCCTGCACATTACTGGGGACTCTGTAATATCCCAGTACACACTGCACGTTACTGGGGACTCTGTAATATCCCAGTACACACTGCACATTGCTGGGGACTCTGTAATATCCCAGTACACGCTGCACATTACTGGGAGTTCTGTAATATCCCAGTACACACTGCACATTACTGGGGGCTCTGTAATATCCCAGTACACACTGCACATTACTGGGGGCTCTGTAATATCCCAGTACACCCTGCACAATACTGGGGGCTCTGTAATATCCCTGTACACCTGCACAATACTGGGGGCTCTGTAATATCCCAGTACACCCTGCACATTACTGGGGACTCTGTAATATCCCAGTACACACTGCACGTTACTGGGGACTCTGTAATATCCCAGTACACACTGCACATTACTGGGGGCTCTGTAATATCCCAGTACACTCTGCACATTACTGGGGACTCTGTAATATCCCAGTACACCCTGCACATTACTGGAGACTCTGTAATATCCCAGTACACGCTGCACATTACTGGGGGCTCTGTAATATCCCAGTACACACTGCACATTACTGGGGACTCTGTAATATCCCAGTACACCCTGCACAATACTGGGGGCTCTGTAATATCCCAGTACACCCTGCACATTACTGGGGACTCTGTAATATCCCAGTACACACTGCACGTTACTGGGGACTCTGTAATATCCCAGTACACACTGCACATTGCTGGGGACTCTGTAATATCCCAGTACACGCTGCACATTACTGGGGGCTCTGTAATATCCCAGTACACACTGCACATTACTGGGGGCTCTGTAATATCCCAGTACACACTGCACATTACTGGGGGCTCTGTAATATCCCAGTACACACTGCACATTACTGGGGGACTCTGTAATATCCCAGTAAACACTGCATATTACTGGGGGGCTCTGTAATATCCCAGTATTACACATTACTGGGGACTCTGTAATATCGCAGTACACACTGCACATTACTGGGGGCTCTGTAATATCCAAGTACACACTGCACATTACTGGGGGCTATGTAATATCCCAGTACACACTGCACATTACGGTGGGCTGCGTAATATCCCAGTACACACTGCACATTAATGGGGGCTCTGTAATATCCCAGTACACACTGCACATTACTGGGGGCTATGTAATATCCCAGTACACACTGCACATTACTGGGGGCGCTGTAATATCCCAGTACACACTGCACATTACTGGGGGTGCTGTAATATCCCAGTATTACACATTACCGGGGGCACTGTAATATCCCAGTACACACTGTACATTACTGGGGGGCGCTGTAATATCCCAGTACACACTGCACATTACTGGGGGCTCTGTAATATCCCAGTACACACTGCACATTACTGGGGGCTCTGTAATATCCCAGTACACACTGCACATTACTGGGGACTCTGTAATATCCCAGGACACACTGCACATTACTTGGGGCTCTGTAATATCCCAGTACACACTGCACAATACTGGGGGTTCTGTAATATCCCAGTACACCCTGCACATTACTGGGGGCAGCTCTGTAATATCCCAGTACACACTGCACATTACTGGGGGCTCTGTAAATATCCCAGTACACACTGTACATTACTGGGGGGCGCTGTAATATCCCAGTACACACTGCACATTACTGGGGGCTCTGTAATATCCCAGTACACACTGCACATTACTGGGGGCTCTGTAATATCCCAGTACACACTGCACATTACTGGGGACTCTGTAATATCCCAGTACACACTGCCCATTACTGGGGGCTCTGTAATATCCCAGTACACACTGCACATTACTGGGTACTCTGTAATATCCCAGTACAGGATGCACATTACTGGGGGCTCTGTAATATCCCAGTACACACTGCCCATTACTGGGGCTCTGTAATATCCCAGAGCTACCCCCACTAAGGAGCTCTACAGAATGTGCTAGGAGTGCTATGAACAGCATTGATACAGATAACTGTAAAGTTTTTTACTTTGTGAATAAACACTGTTCATTTTACTAATACAAAAAAAGAAGATATTTTAGACTTGTGTCATGTAAGGCAGAATTTCAGCTAAAATTTGTTTATATCTTTTTTTCTATTACCTGTAGGGACCAACCAGATTTTCTTCATAAAGTGCCTCAAATTTCAACTCTCGTGCCAACGACACAACAGTACGAATGTTTTCAACAGCATCAGTGGCGATCTTTATTGGGTGAGAAATGTTAGAATGATATTGAAGAATTGTTTGGGCGCACATCATATTACTTGAAAATCAAATCTACAATATTTCACATACAAGAACACCCTGGGCTAGATCTGGCCCATTCTGAGCTACTTCAACGCATGAGATGTACTCCTGATGTGTGCTGGACAATGTGTTGGCAAAAAAGGCCATAGATCCACATGTGATTGACTTGCCCACTACTTGCATTATTTTGGGATTCTCTAAATGATCATTTGAGTCAGTACTGTCTCAACCAATACCATTAGATACCTGGACGTTTCTCCTCTTAAATCCTATTGAGAATCTTAGATCTTCTAAATTACCCTATGGACTCCTTGTTGCATTTTACCAGACTGTAGTGTTCATAGTGAACTCTCTGCCAATCAAAATGCTCACGTGCCTTTCTACAGAATCATTGACTTTAAATAACGGGAGGGCAACCTTTGGATCACCAGATCTTGTGGACTACATCTCCCCTGATGCTTTGCCAGCATTGTGGGTGTATGTACTCTAAGTAGTGCTTTATGGGTACAGCATGACCTTTTCAGAGTTTAGTTTAACAACCAGCTATCTAGTGTACCATTCTAACAGTGGATTTACAACTCCCATCACGTACAGCAAAATTCTTGGTGCTAAGTGGGAAATACTGCGTGTTGAGGAGTGAAACAGGTCATTGAATTTGATCAGAAAAGTTGAGACCTCTCTAAATATCTACTTTTTTTTCTAGAAAATGAACTTATGTAACAATCAACACAAAAGATAATCAAAAGTACTATCATTTTAACCCCTTAAGGACCAAACTTCTGGAATAAAAGGGAATCATGACATGTCATGTGTCTTTAAGGGATTAAAAAGAGTGAAAAATATATTGATTTAACAGAATATAACCCATAAAGAATTGCTGCACATACTACCACACTAGTTAAGCCATTATCATAGGAAAAAATATAACCCAGATACAGATACATGCACTTCAAGGTTTGCACATTAAACTTTTAAGACAATATAACAACATATTTAACTTACTTTTCCTGCCACTTCCAATTCCTCTTTGTCTTTTTTTGCATGCCCAGCAAACATTTTCATTTCTATAAGAGCAGAGATGGCAAGGACTGGCACTATTGCCAATATCAGGAGGGTCAGTTGCCACCCGTAGACAAAAGAGATAATAATCGCAGTGCCCAGGTTTGCGATGTTCTGAGAAAGTAAGGCCAATCTGGCTCCGGTTGCCTAGCAGAAACAAAAAACAAACATAAATGGATCCACTGATCAGCGAGCATCTCATTCCTCAATAAATAGTAAATAATATTATAAATAGTCATAATCACAAGAAAAGTACATACCCCCTGCACTTGGGAAGCATCAGTAGCCAGTCTTGTTGTTAAAGCCCCAGTGCTGTTCTTTTTATCATCAAACCAGCCCATTTCCTATGAAATAAAAGAGGAGCTTTATTTAAGGAGGTGAGTAAAGTTTGTAGTGGATCGTATAATTCTCTTTAGAATATATTTAGTTTTAACTGACATTTTCCAAAGAGAATTTCAGCAAAAGTTTCTGCCCCATAACACTAGAAAATAAGTTTTACATTACAATAAATCAATAACATTACATCATAGTATATTCAATAATTATGTTGGTGGACAATTACATAAACAGTAATCACAAAAAAACACTAGTAGGTAGGTGGTCACTCCACAGCAAACGCACTGGGATGCAATAAATGGGTTTAAAAATAGCAAAACAACCTAGTATATATTCTTAAAACAAGGGACGTATAATAGTGACAATCTTACAAACCACCAGCACAAACTTTGTATTTAGGTGACCTGCCCAATTCTGATCACATTTGAAAAGTGTTTTTCCTAATCTTTTTTCCTATGCCGCACCTGTCTTGCAGAGGCTGACCCAATCTCCATGGCTGAGATCATCAGTCCAATGCATTCCCATAGTAAGGCTATTGCACATGCACAACAAAACGCCACGCTGTGCCAATCATCAACTCCTCACAGAGATGCATTGAATTAATGCATCTTAATGAGGAATGTTCAGCGCCCCCATGTAGAGCATGGAGACGTTGAATGCAGGTATTGCACAGGGTGCAGCCCTGGACTAGGAAGCACTTCTAGTGGCTGTCTGAGCGAATGTCTTTAGAGGTGTTACTAGGATGCAATGTAAACACTGCCATTTCTTCAAAAAGGCAGAGTTCACAGTGCTCAGCCTGCAGGGACAGGCTATAGACACCAGAACGGCTATATTAAGCTGTAGTGGTTCTGGAGACTATAGTGTCCCTTTAAAGAGATAAGTGTGATTTTGCTATTTTAAGTTGTACTTGCACCACCTATATTATTTACTGTTTGTTCTTTAAGGTGAACTTTCTAGTTTACTGAGAGTGTACTGTGGGGATACATTTTGTGATTTTGGTGGGATTTTTCTGAGGTTTATTTTGGTTATAGGTACATTTGTTTTTAGTTGATACACTTTTTACACCACTGATATAATATATATAGATGATTATAATAAATAAACATTATAATATTTTATACTACATTATATGTGCTATACTGCTGATAACATATATGATAGCATATTATAAATATTCCATATCGCTTTTAGAACGTATGATAGTATATTATATATACTCCTTTAGTAGTAATAATAATAATAATGTAATAATATAGCATAACAGATTATACATAAACTACACCATTTACACATATTCTGATTATACGAAATAATCTGTTGAATTATTTAGTCCCCTCGCTTTTCTGAATGGTCTATCTCCGCTACCTCATATGTAGGTCAAACCTCACTTACTTAAAATAAAACAATGAAGGAACATATTTTTGATATTGAAAGTAGTCACTCAAATACCGCCATATAATCATCATGTTTCTAATTGTTGAGAAATCAAATAGAGTTTTCAATTTAAAGGTATTGTAAAGAGTTTAATCTAGATAAGGTAACAGAATGGGTACTGTTCCTTAATAAGAAAAACATTTTGGGTTTTTGCTTTACAGACTCATGTACCATATGGCACAAAGTGGAGACAGTAATGTTAGTCCACTTTGGTTAATATTTCTCGTTTATGTGGATTCGGTTTTGCCTCGGTCATGAGCTTGGTCTAATGCAATAGCTTACTGTGATTTAACACAGAAAGTAATACGTTTCAATGTGTTATGTGATCCTTTTGTTTTTGTTGCAATGGAGAAAGAAAGTCTCGCTATACAAGGAGTATATATTTATTCTATCATACATAAGTTTTAAACCATATTTCTACAGAGAGTATATACATATGTAAATATAATCCTGCTGACAGCATATATATATTTATATCCTTTTGTACATTTCGACTTTAGTACTTGCGGTTATTGTTCTTTTAATACAACACAGTTTTCTATTCTATTAAGGAAACACTTCAAACACCATAACCATTAGCGGTTACTGGGGGTCCACCATTTAATGCTCCCTGCCTCTCTGCAGCCTTCAGGAGAACCCGAATTTATGAGCTAAGTTAGTTCTTGTGAGCTAAGCGCTACCGTGCTCATTGGCTGAGAGTGTCAGCTGGTTATTCTCAGCCAATAATCTAGGCTCATGCCATTCTTAAAGTACCCTGTGGTGGTTATGGTGCTACTTCATGGCTTTCCCCTATATTTGTGGAAGTTCTAAACAGAGTTCGCTTTTTTTTTTGTTTTTTTTTTTTTACTTTGTAGGGGGACTTTTCTTTTCTTAGTAATAAGAAATATTAGTGATCTTTCTTTTATCTTGTGATTTGTCTTAGTTTCACTATGATTGCTTTGTTAGTGACGCACTTTTAATCGACAATATATACAATAAATAAAGATTGAACATTTTTGCTACATCTGCTGCTTGCATACAGCTATTTCAGACAAAACTGAGGAAGTTGCAAACGGACTATAATTTGACATTTATTAACAGACCTAAAATCTCCCATTTACAAGCCAACAGCTATATTTTTAATATTGCACAAACCACATTACATCTAGAAAGGAGACTATACAAACAAATCTATTATCACATGCTAATAAAAAAAAAATACCAAAAAATCATTGCTTAAATGTATCGTAGTAGTCTTCGGTTAAAAGTGCGCAAAGTTCTGTAGCAGTAGCAATGGGATCGTATGGAATCCCCAACTGTATTCCACTGATGATTACGCCACTTTTTCAACTTTGCATCACTTTGCAGGTCATGACACTTTTAAAAGACCAATTTTACTAGAAATAAACCTGTTGACGTACCTGTCTCAGCATTGCTTTGAAAGCCATTAATCTGAGTCTCTTTGTAAGAATTTCTCCTGCTTTACCAAAAGTGAATCCCTGTGTGAAGGCAGGATAAAAAAAATCTATTAAGTATAAAGAGCTCATGTTAATTCTACAAAGGACATATTGGTACTTCTGCATTAATGTAGCTTAGTTTGATAGAAGATACTGATATTACGGGTACCAGTAGACATTGATAACAATCCGGGGACTCCACTAGCCTAATATATTCCTAGTGGTACTTGGTAAGAGAAATGGTTGAGAAGTTCTGTCTAATCAACATTGACAAGCTTCTATTTTCGCGAGTACTGGTTATTTAACCATAATGAACAATGGCTAGTTAGTAATCGGTCTGGGGAATGAACATCCCTCATCACAAACACATTCATGCATGAGGAAAAGAGGCAATTATTTATCGGTCATTTATTGGACACCATAATCATATTTTAATCCCTAATAATTTTCAGGATGAGTGCTCTGTTATTAACCCTTACAAAACCACATGTAGTGTGAGAAAATAGTAAGGGCTCCATCTTCAGGTCCCTTTTTGTTATTAGGTGGTCCATTTGACCCCTGTTTGCTTTATGTTATTTATTGAAATACACAAGTACAAGCAAACACAGCTCTCCAAATGTGCCTCCTGTATGGAAGTAGTTTAGTAAACTATTAGTGTTTGATAAATATCTGAATGTTTTTTTTCTCTGTGGCATTTGAACAAATTCCAATTTGCTGAGAACTGTAGAACATCAATCACAACACTGCATTTTGTAAATTTCCACACTGCAATTTTGAGAATTATTTTGGAAACACTAAATTCTGAATAACCTGCATATTTGCAGAGCTTAGAGAATAACCCTGAAGTATAAGTCAGGGAACTGCAAACCTTATGTGGACAATTAATAATTAGATAACGGCAAAATTCCCAAACCACTAGTGATATTGGCAATTTAATAATGATGATTATAATAATAAACTATTTATCAAGGGCATATTTAACTTTTACTTCTCCCCTAATCTCTCACCAGAAACAATACAGTTACTCAAAGACACCATATCATCTGGATCTCTTAACACTTGGTCATCTCATCCAAAAAAAAACTATTTATTAGTTGATTTTGCAATTAAATACTGTATACTCAGAATCTTCAGTCATACTCTCCATTCGGTCCAGGATTCAGAAAGAGGTTGAGGCAAATTTTGGTATGTTGTTCAGATTTACAGCATTTTGTGGGATTGTGAGTAGAAGGCAAAATGAGAAGGGACAGCAATGGTAGGACTGTGGGAGAGGTTGTGAGAGTAGGATTTAGGTGGAAGGAGGGGTAGAGGTATCAGACAGAAGATTCAAAATATTAAAATATATATATATATATATTGTTATCAGGAGGAGGATTCAGAAAGAATTCACAAGTGGTTATGGGAAGAAGAGTCAGGAAGCAGTCAGTGGCGGTTAAAGACGAGCAGTCAGGAGAGAGTAGGTAACGGCTGGAGAAGGGTGAGTCAAATTGGAGTGCTTCGTGATAATCAGACAGTAACAGACATTGTATTAGTAGTTGATTTTTGTTTAGTAGGAGTTTGGAAGAAGTGGACAGGGGAGTCTAGAAAGGAGTGGGGGGACAGCAGGAGAACCAGGGAGAATACAATCGCTATAGTATTAGGAAATAATGAAAACAGGGAGGAGTGGGTATGGGGACTGCATTCAGACTTTAGAGGTAGTCAGAAGAGAACAATTTTGATGATTCCGTTATTTTGACTTAAATGTAGATTTGTTTTTTTCAATTTTGAATATCAGAAGCTATTGGTTTAATTAAAATACATCAATGTTTCAAAAAAAGCAAACCACAAACATTAAATAAAAAGGTGTATTTCTCACAGCACTGATAAACAAGTTAAAATATTTACCTGTAGAAAAAAGGTTACAAAAGAAACTCCACCAAGTGCCAGAAACAGCAATGAGAACATGGTACTTTGCCGTCTGGTATCAGGTCCTATATCTGCAAATATCTGCAAAAAAACCCAATGAGGTCATCAAGAAATGGAACGCAGGATAACAGGAAGATGTAATGTACTATAGCTAGTAAAATCCATGCATTATAACCTATTTCTTAGGAAATAAAAAGACGATTGTGCAAATATACATGTGATCCAATTTAAATGGGGCAGGATATAGAAACTCCCTTTAATAAAAAAAAAAAGAAATGTACGGTACGTGGTGGAGAACGCCATTATGTGGGGAAACAAAACAGTGAAAACTGACACATTTAAACACTTAATAGAAGTAATCTGACCACTCTCAGCACATATAGTGAGAAAGAAGTGAAATCAATTATTTTATTGATGTATTATGTGTGTATCATAATAAATAATAGGGGGCCCCAAAAAATAACTATTTTACCGTTATTGTATAAAGAATAAAAAGCCACGTGTGAGGGTAATTATCATTTACAAATAAGCATAGACATAAAAACACATCAGCTGCACATAGCAAATACAATAGGATCGGTGAGATAGACAGTTTGCAATTTAAGGACTATATGCAGCCAACAACAAAAAAAAAAAAAATAATCCTTGGTGCATGACCAGGGGGGCCAAAAGTCCAAAGTCCTATTGGGAAAAAATATCAAAGGGAGCTCCTTGTAAAGGAGACTGAAAAGTGGTGAAATACAAGCCACCGCCAAGCTGAACTGCACATTGGGATGTCACTGGCTTATCTTTCCCCACTGTTATACTAATTTTCAGACTATTTTATAATGAGCTCCCACTGGCCATATTATGGCTTATTTGGGCTTTTTTGTGTTAGTTGTTTTAGTTATTTAGAAATCTTTTTGGCGCCCCCTATTATTTATTTTTATCTTTAATAAGTAATAGTCACTCTCCTTTTTGGGGTAGTTGCATTATTTATTTATTTATTTTTTAACCCACAGCTTATATATATATATATAAAATTATTTTTTTGTATGTATACCAGCCCAAACACTTTTTACTTTACTTTGTTGCTTCCGTTTGGAATTTTAAAGGGAAACATACACGGTGTTATTTCCTTTCAAGATCTGCAATAATGGTTTATTATTTTCAAGGTGCAGTAGATGTTTTTTCTCCACTAATTTGTTGTCCATCACGAAAATATTTTACGTACCCCAATGATCTCTGAAAAAATAATAGCAAAAACTGGTTGTGTAGCACCATTGATAATTGCGCATATAACGCCAACCACAAAATACGGCCATTCTGGTTTGTTCAACTTCATAACCTTAAAAAATGAGACTGGTGGCACGTCAACCTACAAAAACACAAGTGAGAAAAACAAAGTGAATCAAGTCCACTAAAAGACTGCGTATGATGCCGAGCTAATATAAATAGAATAGCATAAAAATCTTTTTTAAAAATGCATTTTATAACTCCTTGCATAAATAATTAGCTGTAAATTTTGAACACTTCATTATATAAATTATGTTCCACCTAGACCATCCTTACCAGATCTACCTGCAAAAAGGTTCTGCTGTTTCCCTATCGTTCAACTGTCAGCACACAAGTCTAAAATTTATATAATTGCTATCGTTTCACCTGGCACAATCTATAGATGGAATTGTATGTACTTTAATTTTATTTAGACTTAACGCATACACTTTGACCAAAGTCATCTTTCCTTTTTGCATACAATAATATAGCATTTTAAAGGACCACACCATTTTACTAAATGAAATATATTTACATTATAAATGCATGTCTGAATGTGCCTAATGATATATATATATATATAGTGAACTTGTACTACTATACTTTTTGTACTACTTTGTTTTTGGTGCTGATGTTTTTATTTTTATTTTTCATTATTTTGACTCTTGCAGAGGTCGCCTGAAATCTAAAAACCACTCACCGTTTCGTCCTTTTTATCTTTTTCTTTCTCCTCTTTCTCGGGTACTTTTTTCATGCTGTGCCGACTGGATTTTCTTCTTACCAAACGGGAATGTTTATGGCTGAGAGTGGGTGATTTTTCATCAATAATTTCTTCATATGTATCAACCTCTTCATAATCGTGTGTTTCGTGTGTTTCTATTGTCTGCAAAGAAATATTATTTTACTGAGCAGTGAATTAATTATCTCCACTTTAACCCCTTAAGGACCAAACTTCATGTCATGTGTCATTAAGGGGTTAAAGCAACTTTCTTTGTTTTCTTTCTTTTTTTCCCAAAATCGAGCAACAATACATACATAAACAGCTGATTTGTGCAATGATGTCGTATGCTCATACAGTTTAACGCATGAATACATTAAATGCATAAAAAGAAAAGAGTAAAATAAGACAAAAGGGAAGGGAATAGAAAAAAAATAAAAAGGGAAACCCGCAGTGGCGATGTGTGCTGACACTGAGGGGTCAGCACATATTGGGGGTCACCTTGAATTAAATCGTTGAGACACGTTCTTTCCACAGAAGTCATGTCTTTTCAAATGCTGGCAAGGTGTTATGAACCAAACCAGTTAGGCCGTCTCTTTAATTTCCATCATGACCTCTCTCACTTGTGGGGGCTCCATTTCTAACCAGGATGCATCCAGCAGCTAAACTAACTTTATTAAATAGATTTTGGGGGTCGAAATAATAGGAAAATCCAAGGGTCTAAAGTTAGAGCAGATATCTAATAAATATATTAGAGGGTATATGTATAAGGGTTCCCTATACAGATGACCCTATCTCCATGTATACCTTAACCTGCAAAATTCAGTGAGGACTGACCAACTAGCAAACCACTGTCATCATTTTATTGCCTCTTATTTTTGAATGATCCACCTTTCCCGTTGGGGTAAATGTAATATTGTATTCCAGAGAGATTGGGTTTCAATAACATTGACTACAGTTGTTTTTTTCTTTTTTTGTAATCTTGTAAAACTGCATGTTTTGCTTATGTTGTAGGTAGTGCAGAACATACTGAGGTCTGGGCACAAAAAAAAACCCAACATACATGGCAAAGTAATAGACTAAGTAGACGCCATTTTCTGCTTTTCTGGGTCACTTTCTTACATTTGTCATCTCCTAAGTTCAAATGGATTTTATACAACTGGCACCACTAACTTACCCTTCCAAGGACAACCCTAGTGGTACTGTTCAAAGATCCTCCAAACACATTTGGTGCCTACAAGCTCGTGAGGACTATACATCCTCAACATAGCTCTCCCACAGATTATGGTATATGGACTTTTCACATGGTCTGCCTAACTGATTCAAATTGTTCTTCTATCCATGGGACATAGATCATGCAAGCTACAAACCCCTGCCAGGGTGCGGAGGGTTTAGCGAGAGACATATATATATATTTGTGAACTGTACCTGCATGGTAACCAACTTGTAATAGACTCCCTGTATTTTCATTAGTTCACTGTGATTTCCTTGTTCAACAATGACTCCATTGTCAAACCCAGCGATAGTGTCTGCATTCCTTATGGTGGACAATCGATGAGCAACTACGATGGTCGTACGGCCTTCCCTAGCCTGCAAGAAACATGGTTGAAGCATGATTTAAATGTGTTAACATATCTTGATAATAAAATGAATAAAGCACATAACTAATAACTAGGATGATAGCACACATATTCAATTAATTTAATATATATTAAATTAATCTAAGAGTGGTGAATACATACTAAAGTATTGTATATATAAATATTTGTAAATGTACAAAAATGCGATTTACTTACTTATTTGCCAGAGGGTTGTGCAAATTATTTTAGTGGCATAACCTAAATAAATAATACCTTATCCAGAGCAGTTTGGACAACAGCTTCACTTTCAGTATCCAAAGCAGACGTGGCCTCATCTAGAAGGAGGATTTTGGGATTGCGGACAAGTGCTCTTGCAATAGCGATCCTCTGTTTCTGTCCACCACTCAGTTGTGTTCCTCTCTCTCCCACTAGAGTCTCGAATTTCTGCAATAGAAATTTACATAATTATTTATAAAATCCTTTTAAAACAATTAATCAGCTTGAAAGAGGTGTGATCAGCTCTTTTTCCTAAGTATAGTCTGAGTAATCTAACCAGTTAGCTAAAATAATATTTTTTTTTGTCAATAGAGCTTTAGATCTTTTAGATAAAGTTCCTTTAGGCATATTTCACTTCTGCAGATCTTATGAACCCCTAATATGCCAAGCTTTATCAAAATCCCCAACTAGATTTGGCTGTGAAACAGGTACGACTCACTAAGCTCATTTATACAATTCATATATTCAACCCATGGGTTTTGAGTCCAAAGGGAATGCAAGGAAAAAATACCCAATGTTTGTTACTGCTATGGTTGTTTTGAATTGCTGTGCCTGCTCTGTGTGTGTACGCAAAAAGATGGTTAGATGGTTGAGGACATCTGCAGCTTGCTGTTCCCTGTACTGTATGTTTCAAAGGGCCTGATGATGAACTCAGTCACACAGCATATTACTGGGAGTTTGACATATGACTGGGAAGCTATGTGCGGTTGCACTGAAAAAAACTGCTTTATTGATTAGGATCTCTGTGATACATCAGTCAGACATTTATACCGTGATGCAAAAAATAATCGAGGAAGAGAATGGAAAAAAGATAACTGGTTTGGAAACAAATGATGCATAATGTAACGGCCACCAGCCTGACACGTATGTCCCTAGTGAGCATTGTAAAGAAAGGTTACACATTGATGTATAAAGAAAATACTGTATATATGGACTTACATCTGGAAGTTTCAGAATAAAACTATAAGCGTTGGCTTCCTTGGCTGCAGTTTCAATTTCCTCCACAGTGACATTTTCACGACCAAATCGGATATTTTCCGCAATTGTTGTATCAAACAGGATGGGTTCCTGGCTCACCACACCAATCATCTCTCTTAAATACCTGGTGTTTAAGTTACGGATATCTTCTCCATCAATGGTTACCTGGGAAATATGACATATAATTCCTCATTTAATTACTTACTAGTAGGGTGAACTATTTTGGAGACACATGACGAATTCAAACGAGTTAAAATGGATCAGAATCCTGTATAGTATTATTATGTGGTGAATATATGGATTATGGAGTTGTTTGGATCCTTACCGCTCCTTGTTCGGGATCATAGAACCTCTGTAGGAGCTGAACTGTTGTACTCTTCCCACAGCCACTACTCCCAACCAGAGCAACAGTTTCACCACTTGTGACCTTTAGGTTCAATCCCTTCAGAACCTTCAATAAATACAGAAAAAGGAAAACCAATTATAATCAATAAATCATTCAAAACAAGACTGATCTAATTCCATTAGAACAGAATAAAGGGATTATTTGTTTCAAACAAACAATGGACATTAAACCAGATATCAATATTATTCATTTTGTCCCAATAGAGATATCAGATACACCTGTGCAACTTACCAAAATGCACATTCCACACACAAAAAAAAAATACAAGACGGGAACTAAAACTGGGAATGGTAACTCTTTCTTACGAGGAAACGTTTTTTTAAAAGTCAGGTTTATGTTTTATTTATCTGAGAAGCTATGGTTGTAGAAGATAAACAGAGGAGTGGTGGCTATTTCGGGTACACAGGGAAGTGGCAGTGTGACGATAGTTGCGCAGCAAATATAGTGACCTTTGGAATATGTATATTTACAGAATGATAATATACATGACATATACATGGATGCAGGCCTGCATTATCTGCATTTATGGTTTCATTTTAATATGCAATTTGCAATATTTAGACTATTCATCTTTGGGATACAAATCATTTCTTATGATTCTTATTTTAGAAATGTCATTGCAATGCACGCACTGTATCAACAAGTATACACAAGAAAGGCAAAACAACTACCAGCAAGTTAATAAACATACTATATGCAGCCTATTTAATGATTGGGTAATAATGGGACATTTCAAACTACATTAATGACTGATGCGCCAGTAATCGAAGTTCCATTTAAAGAAATAAAGAAAGGGAGGAACCCTGTATTACAGTTACTGCAGACTAAATTATTGCTTAATTTCCAGCATTTACATTTAGACTTTGGGTCTCAATGGCACTAGTACAATTATCGTTGAACCCCTGAGATGGTCACATTGTGCAAAATAAAAATGATCTAAAAAGTGCTTATTTTGAAAGTGGAACTAGAGATTTGGTAATGGGGACCATGGTAGATATTTTAAATAGAATTACTAATATAGAATTTACTTTGCAGTAGGGGTAGCTGAATGACATACCCCTAGCTGGAGTACAAAGCCTATGGTGCACAGCCAGCCATTTACTTGTGTCTGTATCATCAGCTTGAATTTAGTTACTTCCCTTCTGGCAATACTGTTCCATTTACACTCATGTCCTTGTGTTTTTGATGCCGCAAACACAAGGCCAAAATCATTATCAGATAGAATATCATCCTACCCCAGCAATTATTAGCAGCACGTTCTAGATCTATTTTTTAGGATCTTATACTGAATCATTCTTTATCTGCCTAATGTTCACTAGCTGTCATTTTTATTCCTCTAAATGATGTTTGTTGTGCTCATCAAACTATAGCGACATGTATCATGATTCTGCTCTTTATCTCAATTCCCAACAGTAGGTCTTACATGAGTATTTCGATTTGCCATAGATCATTTGGGGATTAAGGACACCAAGTTCTTAAAATGGAGCTCCATCAGAAAATCCTTGGTTATTGCTATATTTTTGGTCTCAGAATTCATGATGGATCAATTTTATATCTTTTCTTAACACAGTCACCATCTATGAGCTCTTCTTTCAATACAGTGTTCCCTGTTGACACTCTAGAACTATGAGACACAGGCCCCTAATTCCGGCGTTCCAGGGTATGCTCCTCATTTATAAACTGTCTCCCTGTATATCTATCCTCAGGCAACAGTTTAAAAAATATGTTGCAAGAAGAATGTAATGATTACTTTACATTCAAAAAAACCACATACAATGCACCATTTTACCCCTCTAACTCATTTCACTTACTTGAACATCAGGTCTAGATGGATACGTAAACTTCACATCTTTAAATTCTATGTCTCCTTTAATTTTATCAGGTTTATTGCCGGCTTTGGAAAAACTGTCAATTTTTGGTACCTAAAGGAAATAAAACCATTAAGCAAATATTTTCAAACAGAAGACTGTTTCTTTGTTATCATCAAAACATATTAAATAGCTCTCAGATGTGTAACATAAGTAGTCAAATTCAATTTCAATGAAACAAAACAAAACAATATATTTCCAATGAGGATAACAAGCTGGCAACTTTTGAAATGCACTAAATGGTCCGATTATATCAGATTAGCTGAAAACTTAGCTCTTATGAAAGGGCTGAGTAATTCAGACAGAGTATAGATGTCGACACCAATAATTTACTTAGCCAGAAATAATAGAGAATAGACAACAGCAATTTTAAAGCCATTGTAGATTAGGTCATACAACTATTGTAGGACAACTATTGCAGGAATATATGTTTCCATTATAAATAAGTTTGCTTGCAACTTGGACTTTCCATGTTAGTACTCTACAATTTCCAGTTTAGTAAGTAAACCCACATGCCTTTTCTGTTGCTTATTATTTTCACTAAAGCAATTCAAAATTAAAAACACAAAAAAAGGATAAAGCAGTTGCCATCTTTCCAAGCAAACATTATTGTTGTTTATTAAGATCACTTACTACATAAAGTACTCACCGTGTCGATAATGTTAAATACTGTAAAGGCTGCCCCCCTAGCATTGGAAAAGGCCTCGATATTGGGTGCTGTCTGTCCAACACTAAAAGCACCGATTATGACAGAGAAAAACACCTAAAGTAAGAAAATTAATTTAAAAAAAAAAAGATGAATGACATACAACAATTCACATACACATTCATGCACAGCATCAGATAAGAAATTTTTAAAACAATCTTAAAGGTCATGTAAAGACTACGCTATTACTTACTTCGTAGGGATTGTCCTATTCGTTACCTATTCTGTTTTCTGTGCATATTTTGTATACTGATATATGTAGTATTTTATTTATAGTAAGGGGGATATTTAGTATTGTCATCAACAGTTTTACTAAATTGGGTAGAGACATAATGTATACAGATAATTAGCTCTGCTTTAGAGAGCAGATTGCAGAGAAATAGATGGTACTGTGAAGTATTAGAGAAGTTAAAAACAAAATCAAGCGAACAGAAGTATATTTGAGAATTGCCAATTCATAAACGGTGTTGGAAAGAAGATAATGGCTGGTAAGAGACAAGACAAGAAGGCACAGAACTGACAATAGGTGGATGCCAACAGAAAGTGGAAGGGAAGTTGTGTTACTACAGAGAAAGAACAAAAAGATAGGCTTGATGTGAGCAAGGCTAAGGCTGTTCACAAATACTCAGGGACAGAGCGATTCCTAATATAAGCTGGGTATAAACTGTGAAATAACGTGTGTGTTTGTTTCTATACCCCACAGTTATAACGTAGAGAGCTAGAATTACCCAGGGAAAGAATTTCCTAATCTTAGTTCCCAAGCATATGTTGGGGGTGTTCCCCAATAATCTAATCCTTACATATTTGTGTTCCTAATGCTATAGTGCCCCTTTAATATTTCTAAGATAATTTCTCTGATAAACTATACAAGTTCAGTGTAAAGGGACATTCTGTACTGTACACCATCACCACTACAGCCTATTGTAATCCGTCTTAATTTGAACTGCAATGAGAGGATGTGGCTTGCAGAAATGTAAATTTATATGAACTAGTACAGATAATAAGGGGTCTGGCATTGGGTGTCAGGAAAACCCAAGTTATTTTTTTATTTTAATTAAAGTTTTATTAGAGATCAGTCTTGTAAAAGCCCTGAATAACATTGAAAATGTCAAAGAAAATAGTAACTCAATGAACGTATGCGGTATAGTCCTACGTTTTCTGTGGAACCATGCGCTAGTGTGTATTTCTCAAAGGTCAAGACAAAAAGAATAAAGCTGCTGGAACCTATATGCTAGTCTTGGAGGGAAGGGGTTGGTTAATGAGGATTCATTAACATTGGCATCCCACGTTGCAAGCCCCAAACAACTTTCCCCGTGAACGAGACCTTGTGTTCATATCCTGAGCATTCTCCAATAGGAGTGACCCGATTGGGAGCCATAGATTTGTTAAAATTGTGGGTTTTCAGCTCCTTCTCCGTCTGGACCGGTGACTCGCGACCCCCATCTAAATCTGTTTCTGCACTGAGGTGACGTCCCTCTCCTCTCCCAGGTTCCATCCTTGCCGCCCATATGTCAGCAGTGTCTGAGAGTCCACGTGGTAAACCATGGTCAGTCAGTGTGTCCATACGTCGAAATATGTCTGTGAGTGTCCTTATGCTGAGAGCTCCAATTTTTGTGAAACTGATTAAAAATAAACCCAAAGACTGCTTTCACTATAACCACCACAATAAGCTGGAATGGTTATGGGGTATATGTCATGTAGCTTTGTACAAGATATATTCTAAAATATATATACACATGTGATATGAAAATTATTCTGTTAAAATATTTGTGTGTCTGTAGGTGAGTAGAGTAGCAATGTAATCATCACAAATACACACGTTTTCATCCATGATCAAGTTACTCCATTTTGGTACAAGGTCAGAAAGAATAATGGCACGTAAAACTACACAACATTGTATCACGGTGGTACTACTAAAGTTCTGGATATCCTTGGCCAACCAGATGTTTGCAAACTAGATTGTTTATCATGCACAGCCATTTGGCATCACCAACAACTGGAAACCACATTCAGATACCAATGCACTGCAACAGAGATAAACGACTTTGCATTCTATATTTTTTATAAGAATAATAGCATTTAGTTAGTACTTTGAGAATAAACACTTACTGTAAGTACACTTCCAATGCTGTAATTTTCATCTATAACCAGAGTTGTACCATACCAGAATGCCAATGCATACGAAGCATATATCATTAAGAAAGCAAATCCCATAGATATATTGGCTGTTACTGCCTTCTTTATGCCTATTTTTTTGGCATCTTCTAAGTTCTTTTCATACCTGTTGATGATAAATACGATATAGGAGGAAAAAAAACCCATCAGAATTCATCCTCGTATGAAGCACAAATGGGGAACTGTTACATCCCTAGATTTTTAATAGCATGTTTATTTATCAATGTGTTTAACAAATAAGTATTTGAGAGGTGTGAAAATTAAAATTTAAAGTAGAAATCAGCTCCCTGGCATTTATTGTCCTTTGCACAGGGAATGAGTATCAAGGATACTTCTACATCTCTTCCTCATTTGAAGTGTGTGCCCCTTTCTGTGCCTGGACTTAAATGGAATGTGATATCAATTCTCAAATCTTTAATAAAAAATAAATAAATAAAATAAGCATCATTTGATTTTTAAAGTTTTAAATATGTGAATTACACAGAAGTGACAGTCCCACTTTAGAGCTGGGAGCCACCATAAGGGAGATTCGCACCCATTTTAAATCACAACTCCCATAACGCTTTTCCAAGCTGGCTAGACATAATGGGCTTTTTCGTTAAATAACAGCTTAGGAAACCATGGTTTAAAGAGATAAGTAAAAATAAAATATTATCTCACCTTGCTATTTCTTTGTTTTGCCCACCGAAGGCTATCACCGTTCTGATAGCTGCAAGTACTTCTTCAGCAACGGACCCAGCTTTGGCATAAGCTGTCAGTTCTTTGTTGGTGAATGCAGACAATATCTGTGCGTTAACAATAACATTTTAAAATATTTTCCAATGAAAACCATCATTTTGCACTGTCAATTCTTATTACAGTGTCTTTTACATCCTCTACTACAGAGCATAACTAATTTTACATTAAAGTGGATTTATCTTTTTCACATCAAACTGTCGACCATTTATTCTATTAAGGATTGTTTTTTTAAATAATCCAACATTTTCCAGAAATATTTTAAGAGAAATCAACCTGCCTGATGTGGAACTCATTGGGTTAGTGGTATGTGTAAGATTATCTAATTTTTATTAACCCATCATTTCTTTTAAAATATGTACTGTCAGGTCCTGCACCAGTTATAAACCAGTTTACTAAAAAAGACTGAAACGTCGACCTCTCCTAAAGACTCTTTAACCCACACACAGTATTGTGTTTTGTCCATCAAGCAAATGGATGAATAAAATAAAACGAAAACTGCTACAGAAAACCGTGAGTGCAGCCTATTTCTCCATTTATATAAAACAACTGAAAACCACATTCAGACACCACTGCACTGCAACACAGATAAAACGTTTTGCATTCTAGATTTTTTAGATATATAAAAGGAGGAATCAGTTATTAAGGGATCAAGTGAGATGTAAAAAGCGAACTGTTGCTTGGCATGCAAACGTATACTTTATCTAAGATCATTATGTAGACCAGGGGTGGGAAACCTTCGGCACTCCAGATATTGTAGACTACATCTCCCATAATGCTCTGGTAAAGCACCAGGGGAGATGTAGTCCACAACATCTGGAGTTACGAAGGTTGCCTACCCCTGCGCTAGAACCTCATAGTCGCTTAGGGTTAAGGCTTGGATAAGGGTTTGGTAAAGAGTAAAGGTTAGGGAAAAAGTGAGGGTTATGGATAGGGTACTATTTCCCTCAGGGTTAGCCCTATAGAGGATGCAGGATATCACAGTTGGCTGATCCTACATAACAGTATCACAATATTGTTGATGTAGTTGTCATTTACTCTACATCTTCTTAACATGGGCAACCTTTTCTAATTTACACTTTTGATACTCTAAATTTTCTTGGCTTCAATTCAACAGTAAAATCAAAGAGTCTTTGAGAGATTTTAAAGATTAGTATTACTGCCTTCGGCCTTGATACAGGCACATTCTAACTTTAAAATTACTGAGTTTTGATATAATCCCCCCTCCCTCAAAAAAAAGAAATTGAATGTTAGCATGTCAGCACTCCAGCACTGGGACAGCCTGCTTTCTGCTGACGATCAGATAGAAATGATATGCCCCTTATTTAACGCTTCTCAGAGAAGTATTGGGAATGCAGTTTCCATACTGTCACAATCCACTTCGTCTTTAAGTGAAACATTAGTAGAATTTGGTGTCAGTGTACTGTACGTGATGATGCCAAATGCAATTTGAAGGTTTTAGTTTGTAAGGATGTTTGTAAGGAGGAAGTGCCTCTAGTTTCGGTCATTATGACATGTACTAGAGACTAGACTAGTTATAGGCAAAATGTACAGTGTCATTTCTCTGAAATAGCAATATTTTACATTGCTTTGCAATTTGAACCATGACTTTCATTTTAACAGGGGCCCTTTTTTTTGTTTTTGTCAATCAATATTTTTATTGAGGTATTGATTCGACTAGTCTTTCAAGTATGGGGAAGGTAAAGCAGAACAGCTGCAAGGAGTCACATATAAGTGCAAACAGTACATGAACAATGCAGAACACCAGTGTGTAGTGTATATAAGTCAATGTCTGTCTGTCAGGATACTGACAGGGATCCAATACGCAGAGTGCGGACAGAAGGAGGTACGTATACCGGACCTTAGAATGGCCGGACTAACGTAGGGACAAAGCAAGAATAGTCAAAAGGTAAGCCGAGGTCGAGGGAGCCGGAGGACAGGTAAGCGAGATACAAGCCGAGTCAAAGGAGAGGAGAGGACAACAGGACAAAAGACAAGCAAGGGTCAAAACCGGAAACACAAGATAAAGAACGCGCTGAGTGACTAGCAAGCTAGAACCACGACAGGGCAATGAGCAGTAGTAAAGGTTTCCTTTAAATACCCTGTTACCTAAATAGAGACCACGCCCCCAAAAGGTCCAGAATAGCGGTTCCCGGCATTTTATGTAAATGCCGACGTCATGACGTTGACGCTAGCCGTCGCGTCATAAAAGGGGGAGGAGCTAGCGCGGCCGGCGCGAAAACGGCCGGAATATGCCGAAATGCTAGGGGCAGGGAGCCCCTAAACAGAGAGGATGTCTTCCCTGGATTCAGCACCAACAGGTACCCTGACAGTACCCCCCCTTCTAGAAACGCCCACCGGGCGGATGGGACCGGGCTTAGAAGGAAAACGAACGTGGAAGGCCCGAAGAAGACGAGGAGCATGCACGTCTATACCAGGAACCCAAGACCTCTCTTCTGGACCATAACCTTTCCAGTCTATGAGGTATTGCAGCTTCCCCCTAGAAATACGAGAATCAAGGATGGACTTGATGATATATTCCTCCTGACCATCCACACGGACCGAGGATGGAGGAGCAGAGCGGGAGGAAAATCTGTTACAAACAAGAGGTTTCAATAAAGACACATGAAAAGAGTTAGGGATGCGTAGAGTAGGAGGTAGATCCAGCAAATAAGAAACCGGGTTGATCCTCCTCAGCACCCTGTAAGGACCAATGTAACGAGGAGCAAACTTCAAGGAAGGAACTTTCAGGCGAATGTGTCTGGTACACAACCAGACCCTATCACCCGGAGAAAAAATAGGAGCAGGCCGCCTACGCCTATCAGCATGTGACTTAAACACCGCGGAACTACGTGCAAGAATTTGTCGAGTCTGATCCCACAACTTTCTCAGGTTGGCTATATGAATATCAACCGACGGTATACCCTGGGAAGGAGACACCGACGGAAGAACAGTAGGGTTAAAGCCATAGTTCAAGAAAAAGGGGCTATTACGAGTGGAACCACAAACAAGGTTGTTGTGAGCAAACTCCGCCCAAGGAATCAGACCGACCCAGTCATCCTGGTGTTCAGAAACAAAACAACGTAGATATTGCTCAATTTTTTGGTTAGTGCGTTCGGCTGCTCCGTTAGATTGAGGATGATAGGCCGAAGAAAAATTCAGTTTGATGCCCAACTGGGAACAGAAGGATCTCCAAAAACGGGAAATAAATTGGGAACCCCTGTCTGACACAATCTCATTGGGAATACCATGTAAACGGAAAATTTCTCTAGCAAATATCACGGCCAGTTCAGGAGAGGACGGAAGTTTAGGCAAGGGAATGAAATGAGCCATTTTAGTAAACCTGTCAAGGACCGTGAGGATAACCGTATGCCTACTGGAAGCTGGTAGATCAACAATAAAATCCATAGCCAAACAAGCCCAAGGTTTGTTGGGAACGACTAAGGGCTGCAATAAACCACAAGGGAGATCCCGCGGAAGTTTATTCCTGACACAAACATTGCAAGCCTTGACAAAGTCTTCCACATCCCTACGTAAACCGGGCCACCAGAAGTCTTTGGAGATCAGGCAGTAAGTTTTGTGGATGCCGGGGTGACCAGCGAACTTGCTATCGTGAAAACAGCGAATAATGTCCACTTGGAATTTGGGAGACACGAACAAGCGGCCCACAGGAGTACGTTCGGGAGCAAGAGATTGTTCGTTCATAATATCAGCGAGCAATGGAGAGTGTATTTTGACATTGGTGTTGGCGATAATATTGACTTCAGGAATAATAGGGAACAAAGTGTCCTCTGTAGAGGTGATAGGTTCGTGCTGACGTGACAAAGCGTCTGCCTTAGTGTTCTTAGAACCAGGCCTGTAAGTAAGCATATAATTAAAGTGTGTAAGGAACATAGACCAACGTGCCTGCCTGGCAGATAATCTTTTGGCCTCCCCCATATACGATAAATTTTTGTGGTCAGTCAAGATAGTAACTGGGAGGACAGTGCCCTCTAACAAATGTCTCCATTCCTTTAATGCCATAATGATAGCTAAAAGTTCTCTATCACCAATGTCATATCTCCTTTCAGTGTGTGATAGTTTCTTGGAAAAAAAACCGCAAGGGTGCAGCGGCTTATCTAAACTTTGTCTTTGGGACAACACTGCGCCTATCCCTGTTTCAGACGCATCAACTTCAAGTAAAAAGGGTAGAGAGGTATCAGGATGAACTAATACAGGTGCTGAGGCAAAAGACTGTTTGAGCGTTTCGAAAGCAGATAAAGCCTCAGTAGACCAGGTTTTGGTATCGGCTCCTTGTTTGGTCATATTAGTGATAGGAGCGATAACAGAGGAGTACCCTTTAATAAAACGTCTGTAATAATTAGAAAATCCAAGAAATCTTTGTATGGCTTTGAGTCCCTTAGGTAAAGGCCAATCTAAAATCGATTTTAGTTTGGTCGGGTCCATCATAAACCCGTCTTTGGAAATTACGTAACCTAAGAAAGTTACCTGAGACTGGTCAAAGCTACATTTTTCCAATTTACAATACAATCCATGTTGTAAAAGTTTCTGTAATACCTTTCTGACTTGTCTATGATGTGAATTAATGTCTCTAGAATGGATTAGTATATCATCCAAATATACAATTACACATTCATGTTGGAATTCTCTAAGAACTTCATTGATCAAGTCTTGGAAGACGGCCGGGGCGTTACAAAGCACAAACGGCATTACGGTATACTCATAATGCCCGTAACGGGTATTAAATGCTGTCATCCATTCATCTCCTTGTTTAATTCGCACTAAGTTATATGGTCCTCTCAAGTCAAGTTTGGTAAAAATACTCGAGCCCTTTAGTCTGTCAAAGAGTTCAGTAATCAAAGGAATAGGGTAAGCATTCCTGATAGTAATTTTGTTCAATCCCCGATAGTCTATACAAGGACGTAAGGTACCGTCTTTCTTTTCTACAAAAAAGAAACCCGCCCCCGCCGGAGAAGAAGACTTTCTAATAAATCATTTGTCTAAATTCTCCTTGATGTATTCCTTTAAAACTAAGTTTTCCTTGGTGGATAGAGGGTATACCGTAACCCTGGGAGGCATAGTACCAGGGAGGCATAGTACCAGGGAAAAGTTTAATAGAACAGTCATAAGACCGGTGGGGAGGTAAAGTATCCGCCTTACCCTTGTCAAATACAGATTTGAGGTCTAGATATTGTAATGGTATCTGAACGTCTGTGGATTGGGAAGTGTTAGCATAAGAGTTTACGGGGCAAACAGAAGTAACTCTCTGCAGACATTCTTTCCTACAACCCATACCCCAAGAAACAATTTCTCCACCCTCCCAGTCAATCTGAGGGTTGTGTCTCTTGAGCCAAGAATATCCTAGTACCACTGGGACTGCCGGGGAGGAAATTAACAGAAGGGAAATCAACTCCTCGTGGAAAATACCAACAGTAAGCTTAACGGGTTCGGTCTCATGGAATATTACTGGTTCAGATAAAGGTCTACCATCTATGGCCTCAACGGCCAAGGGTGTATCTCTCAATTGGAATGGGATACAATGCTTATTAGCGAAAGTTTGGTCTATAAAGCTTTCTGCTGCTCCAGAATCTAATAATGCCATCGTAGAAATAAACCCCTTTTCCCAAGCTAGAGAGACAGGAATCAGAAGCCTATGGTCTTTTTTATTATGCATAGAGGACAGTAATGAAACACCCAAGGCCCGTCCTCTAAGGGAACTTAGGTGCGAGCGTTTCCCGGACGATTAGGGCAACTAAGACGTAGGTGACCTCTCCGCCCGCAGTATAAACAGAGACCCTCCCTTCTTCTGTACTGTCTCTCAGCCTCAGATAAGCGAGTATTACCTATTTGCATAGGTTCTGGTGGAGTAGGATTATAGGAGTCAGGGTTCTGAAATGAGGGAGCGAGTCTTACAGGAAGTCTAGTAACTCTTTCCCGAGTGTTCTGCCTCTGTCTCATGCGTTCATCTATTCTGGAAATGAAGGATACTAAATCCTCTAAATTTTCCGGAAGTTCTCTTGTGGCAATTTCATCTAGAATTTCATCAGACAACCCATTCAAGAATACATCCATAAAAGCTTGTTCGTTCCATTTCACTTCTGCTGCCAATGATCTAAACTCTAGAGCATATTCTACAAGGGTCCTATTCTGTTGTTTAAGGTGTAACAGGGATCTGGCCGCATTAATCTTCCTTCCTGGGGGGTCAAAGGTTCTTCTAAAAGCCGTGACAAAAGCAGTGTAGTTGTAGACTAAAGGATTGTCATTCTCCCAAAGGGGATTGGCCCATCTAAGTGCTTTATCTATTAGCAGGGTTATAATAAAGCCTACCTTAGCCCTGTCAGTGGGGTAAGCCCGGGGTTGAAGTTCGAAATGTATGCTTATCTGGTTTAAAAAACCACGACAAGCATCAGGCGAACCCCCATATCGTAACGGTGAAGTGACATGGGAAGATGCGCCTACAGTGGTTACTTCCAAACCAGTACTTAGCGAATGGCTAGCAGTGGAACGTATTTCTTCAGACTGGGTACTGGAGCGTGTTAACAAAGTTTGTAATGCTAAAGCCATTTGGTCCATTCTATGGTCCATGGCCTCAAATCTGGGGTCAGGAGGACTAGCACCTGCAGGATCCATCTGGCCCTGTCGTAATGTCAGGATACTGACAGGGATCCAATACGCAGAGTGCGGACAGAAGGAGGTACGTATACCGGACCTTAGAATGGCCGGACTAACGTAGGGACAAAGCAAGAATAGTCAAAAGGTAAGCCGAGGTCGAGGGAGCCGGAGGACAGGTAAGCGAGATACAAGCCGAGTCAAAGGAGAGGAGAGGACAACAGGACAAAAGACAAGCAAGGGTCAAAACCGGAAACACAAGATAGAGAACGCGCTGAGTGACTAGCAAGCTAGAACCACGACAGGGCAATGAGCAGTAGTAAAGGTTTCCTTTAAATACCCTGTTACCTAAATAGAGACCACGCCCCCAAAAGGTCCGGAATAGCGGTTCCCGGCATTTTATGTAAATGCCGACGTCATGACGTCGACGCTAGCCGTCGCGTCATAAAAGGGGGAGGAGCTAGCGCGGCCGGCGCGAAAACGGCCGGAATATGCCGAAATGCTAGGGGCAGGGAGCCCCTAAACAGAGAGGATGTCTTCCCTGGATTCAGCACCAACAGGTACCCTGACACTGTCGTAGTTGGAGTTAAAATAGCGCCTTTTAAAATGGAAGAAAACAAAGTCCAAACAAGTGTGAAGTAAATACACCCGATTTACATTATCTTACCAGCTAAGTCTAAGCTAGAGCGATAGGACTAGAGTATATAAAAGTTACTGGTACACAACTGACAAATCAATATTCCATAACAGCATAAACAATACTTAAAACTGCGCAAGGAACATTAGATGAAATCTCCAAGTCAATGAGTACCCCTAACTCATGGGACAGTGGGGGGATTCTTATCTGCATCATAGCTATATGATAAATTGTTAAGACCATAGAAGGGTGGAACGGCGACAATCAGGAACTTGCTGTGATGAAGACAAAAAAGATTGTAAAACAGAAATAAACAAAACTATTTGCAAATAAAGTTGGAAGTTAGTCTCAGCGTTGCTGGGATATGTTCTGTAAGGCCCAGAGCCATAGAAACATAAAGTCCTCTGCAGGATCGGAGGCGTTGTATGTTTTTCCTTCTTTAATAACTATAATCGACCTGGGGGTGGACCAGCGATAGGCAAGTCCTGTGTTTTGGAGTAACTTGTAATAGGTTGCATAAACGTACACCATAGCAGTATGGATCTGTTCATGTCTTGGAAAAGTGTGAGGCTACAAGGCTTAAACTCGGAAGGCATCTTCATCTTAACTGCATTCATCAAGTCTTGTTTTTCAGCTAATGTCTGGCAATGTAGAATAATATCACATTAGACTGTGGTAGGTGCCTGTGGAGATTTGTTAATCCTATAAACTTCATCGAAAGGAAAGTGTTTGGGTTATCTTGTAGGTAAACCTGATGCCACTTGCTGCCTGATACAATGTGAAAGTAGTTACGAGTGAAGAGAGTCCATCACTCCCCAGATTTTTATTTTCTTTCTTCTACCTCTGTGATCAAGGTGATCTACCTCAGATTTGTGACGCTTTCTCCTAGTGCTGTCAAACCTTGTTGTAGGTCTAGAACAGGCTTCCTCAAACTCCGGCCCTCCAGATGTTGCTGAACTACAACTCCAATGATTCTATGAATGAAATAGGTTGAGAATCATGGGAGTTGTAGTTCAGCAACATCTGGAGGGCCAGAGTTTGGGGAAGCCTGGTCTAGAACATTCTCCTCAATAGCCTGTATGAGTGTTATTACAGCCTGCACCTCAGTCTTTACCACTGCCAGATGAGCCGCAAATAGTTGTTGAACGTACGTTTTATATGTAATTTTTTGGTCGCCGGCTTAGTATCATCCGATATGTGTGGGGCCTCCAGGGCTGGTGCAGTAGGAGCTTAGACCAAGGTCTAAGAGTTCGCCACTCAATTGCGGGGGAAGGCTTCAGATGGTGCTGGAGCTAGAACATAAGGAGATAATGTAGCATTTGGTCTATATCTCGGAGTACCTTTGTGGTAGATTGGAGGGGCTTTTGGAATCCAGGTCCTATGTCTCTGTAAGTAATTACCCCAGGGTCCATGAAGTAGGTATGCATGTGGATACTTTTGGCAGGCCCAAAAGCCTCGGTGTTGAGTTTTCGCACTCGGAATGAAAAAGAAAGGCATCCGCTTGTTCAGCAGAATGTCCAACAGCTATTGTGCGCACAAATGGATGGAATGACTATCTGCCATTTGAGACAAGATTAATGCCGGATGACCTGGAATCGCTAGAAATGGCGTCTGTGCTGGTGAGTACTGAATATTTGATAGAGTCCTAACCTCAACATCTGAGGAAAGGGATTTATGGGTGATTATTTCTGATGACTTAAAGGTAGGCAGACAATGTAATAGAGCAACAGGAAATGCTAGCAAAATGCTTGGTTGTATAGGGAGAGGTATTAGCAGTAGAAAGAGGGAAGTGCTCATGCCATTGTACAGAACACTGGTGAGACCTCACTTGGAGTATTGTACGCAGTACTGGAGACCGTATCTTCAGAAGGATATTGATACTTTAGAGAGAGTTCAAAGAAGGGCTACTAAACTGGTTCATGGATTGCAGGATAAAACTTACCAGGAAAGGTTAAAGGATCTTAACATGTATAGCTTGGAGGAAAGACGAGACAGGGGGGATATGATAGAAACATTTAAATATATAAAGGGAATCAACACAGTAAAGGAGGAGACTATATTTAAAAGAAGAAAAAGTACCACAACAAGAGGACATAGTCTTAAATTAGAGGGACAAAGGTTTAAAAATAATATCAGGAAGTATTGCTTTACTGAGAGGGTAGTGGATGCATGGAATAGCCTTCCAGCTGAAGTGGTAAAGGTTAACACAGTAAAGGAGTTTAAGCATGCGTGGGATAGGCATAAGGCTATCCTAACTATAAGATAAGGCTAGGGACTAATGAAAGTATTTAGAAAATTGGGCAGACTAGATGGGCCGAATGGTTCTTATCTGCCGTCACTTTCTATGTTTCTATGTTCTATATCTATGTGTGCTGCTAGGGACCTTTTTTACAATTGCATAACCAGATTTCAACTTTTCCGCTAATGTCCTGCTCAGAAAATATTTTTACAGGTCACTTTTCCACCTACAGAGCCCCATAAAATATCATTAGATGAGTCCTGTATCATGAAAAGGGTATGGCATTTCATATAAATGCTTAGATACTCTCTGTCGTCTAAAACCTTTATAAAACTCCTTTATGTACATAACTAGCACAACATTTTATAACTGAATTGTGAACAAACATAAGAATCACCAGAGAGAAGACTGTCTACTACAACAAGTGCTTCAGAAATAAATCAAGTCCCAATGTTTGACAACATATATTTGCATTTCTAACTAACGCAATGACTCCAAGGTGATTTAACCCCTTAAGGACACATGACATGTGTGACATGTCAATATTCCCTTTTATTCCAGAAGTTTGGTCCTTAGGGGGTTAAACACCATCAAACAGAGATGATGGGCAAGAGTTATGGGTTTAACTGTGTAGATAAGTGATATTATCAGATGGCTGTATAGAATATAGAAACAGAATAGTCAGAGTAGGACCAAGCTTCCAGTCTTGTGGAATCACATCAGCAGAACTCTATGTGAAAGGCCTCAAGTGGGAATGCAGTCCAGCCACTGCTGAAATAGTCCTGCCAATCTTCCATACCTTACGAAAACAAGCCCACTTGCATTCCATCACTGTTCACCTGCCCCAAACCACTTCCACACCTACATTCCACTGGTAAGATTGTCAATGTAACTGCAAGTATCATAAAAGTAAAGGTTTTATTCTTAGACTAGATTATTTCAAATACTATTATTTAAACCCTTGATAACTAAATAACTAGTACAATGGAGTAAATGGAACTGTCCCTTTAAGGAATAGTTCTGGCTTTTAGCATTTTGTTTCACATTACTTCTTTAGATTTATGCTAATAAGAACAACAATATTTATTTCACTATTTTATTTTATTCTTTTTTAAATTTAACCTGTGCTTGACAACTTTTTGCCAAAACAAAAAATCCCTATCTCTCACCTTTGACCAGACCGCAGCTGAGAGTCCCATGAGTGGACTAATAGCCAAAATGACCAGAGTCAGTTTCCACCCTTTAACAAATCCGAGGACAAAGCCAGTTATGAATGTGGCCATAGATTGCACAAGCATCGCTATTTTCTCACCAATTCCTTCATTAATTTTGGAGACATCACTAAAAAAATAAAAAGCATCGATTTAACATGCTGAATGTATTATTAATTATTATTATTATTATTGCAACGCATTTAGAATTTGGGGTAGCACCAATCCAAAACGTGGGTGATTATGGAGATTCTGTCATTCATTATCCAGGCTTACCCACTAACCCATACCAATATTTCATACACATGAAGAAAGTGAATATGATCTGAACATTCTATGAGACGTGTTTTTGTCAAACTGCTTGAAAACATTTTGACAAAAAACAGAAAGACTGCACAATAACCATTACAATAACCTATATTGTTGGTGGTGCTTAAGTGTACATTTAATAACTTGTAACAGAGCCTTTCTTTAAACACACATCTATAAAAACTGATCATCTAAGATAGATGTACAAACATAATTACATTGTGCATTGGTTTCCATAGAAACATTTGACGTGCTTACTTTGGCACAATCCAGAAAGCACTGCTAAATATAGGTCACAGAGTTACAAATGTCTTCCTGGAATTCAAGACTTCCAGCACTTAGTAGGGTTTATTCATTAGTCAGTGAATGGAAAACCAAAGTCAAGAATTCAGGCTAATGCTGCACTATTGAAGTTGTAGTTGAATTGGAAAATACTTCCACATTTTCAATTCACTGTTTAGTGAAGAATTCCCAGTGACCATAGTGATTTGACTTTGATGCAATTTGACCAAATCTGGAGTTCCTTGAGGCACTCACAGTCTTGACCCCACTCGCCAGAATTAAAATTAGGATGCCATTCATTGGTTGAGTGGGTCTGCTGATGCACCCAGCCATTGATGGATTTACAATTAAAAAAAAATTTATATTGCTAGAGAAGACGTGGAATATTTTTCAATAGGTGAACCCTGGTTTCAGTCAAACCACTTGAAAACATTTTGAACCAAGAAAAAAAGGACAGTTCAGCAGGTAGTTGATATTGTTCCTAGAGTGCTATTTAAATGAACTTTTTGCATTTGCATGACAAACATAGTGATTCCCTATTATATAAATACTGATTAATGAAGTAACAAAAGTCAATCACAGAAAACTATTGCGAGCACCTACGTTCTGTGCTTGTTAATGTTAATAGAAAAGTACATTTTAAACATATGATACACATTAAAAGAAAGCAAACCGCATACAAACAAAACCCACGCAATCAACAAACCAGTGAAGAAAAGTACAAAAATGCATTTTCAGTTTCAGTAAGTCACTAATGTAGTCACATGAAGTACTAAAACCCAGAATGTAAAAGATTTTTCTTTTTAAATATAATGTAAGACCATAATAAAACATATAAAACGGCTTTGTGACAGCCCATAAATAAGGCGTTTTATGGTTTTATTGTCTTACATTATGTTGTTTTTTGTTTTTGTTTTTTTTGCTGCTTTTCTATTCTACGTTTTGGAACTACATGCGATTTCATTAATGTAAAGATACAGTGTCCAAAGTGCAAAGCCTCACATTAAATATTAGGCAGCACTAGGTTTATATGCCAATGTGTTTAGTTATAGGATACCACACGTGGCACTGTAGGATAGTAGGAATGTAGCTGTACTGCATACTGACAGTTTATAATCTACCTGCTGCGGATCCATAAACTAGAATCTTAAGGAACCTCTCATTCCAGGAATCACAAGCAATAATCTCAATAACGTTATGGTGTTATCATGTCCCAGCACTGTATTACCTTATGGGGTTAAGCCGTTTCTAGGAGTTTAGCCACAAATGTATGAAGACGGCACCTGTCCTCTTGGCCCAACCATTTCTGCCGATGGTACATACATTATTCATGGAGCTCGTGATAGGCTAAGAGTGTTACTTCTTTTTGGAAAAGGCCTTCTGCCTGCCTGCTGCATCCAGAGGTAAATACACAGAGTCTAATGGGAGGTGTGCTACTCATTTGCTCAGACGTTATCTAGCACGGTAAACAGATGGCACCATCTAATGTGAGTTAACCATTAAAGTAATAATTGATCAATGTGTGCTTTAATTTCTACAAAATATTTTTTTTACACCAACCCACAGTCTTTCCTATCCTGTCTGAATAGCTCCCTGTGCCACATTTGGACAGGGAAGAACACCTTTAATAAACAATGATAAATACATTCTTCCTGATAACAAGTTTGTAAATACAGGACTGCGTTCCCCTCCAGATAGATTTTACTTAAAAGGTTACTCCAACCCCAATGACCACTTCAGTGATTTGAAGTGGTCATGGCTGTAGGAGTATGTATGTGCAGTGCTTCAGCCAAATATGGCACTTGTGTGGCGGACACAAGTTGCACCCCCAGCACATGTGACTTAGGGAGCCCAAAACTCTGTTCCAGGCTCTCTAATGTAAATTTTGTGCATGAAAAAAAAACCATATGTTGCTAGTGCACCAGAAGTGCTTAGCATGTACCTGCGTGCAAGGGTAAGCTCGCTATCCACTCCCTTCATTTAGAAAGCCCTCCCCGCATTTAGTTTTGTATTTATTTATTTTTTTAACTGCCCTCCCTGGTCCACTAACCCTCCCTTCCTTTGGCATCCCAGAGAGCACGCATGTGCTCTGAGAAGGCAAAACTGATCTATCACATGCTAGTCTATGAGCACTGGATGTCAAGTAAGCTTTTAAATTTTTTTTGCAGCATTTTGCCCTGGCGCACATTATAGAAATGCACAATCAGGCACTTTAATTTAAAAAACATGAATTTTTGAAGAAGGGTTATAGTAACTCTTTAAACAATCTGTGGCTGAATTGTTGCATCACATTAGTTTCATACATATTTAATGTGCACTAACTTGTCATTTAATAACTTCAAACATTTACATTACGTCTATTTCCTCTCTTAAAGGGACACTAGTCACCAGAACTACTACAGTTTATTGCATTTTTCCAGTAAACGCTGTCTTTTCAGAGAAAATGCAGTGTTTACATTACAGCATAGTGATAACTCCAGAGGCCACTCCTTAGATGGCTGCTAGAGGTGCTTCCTGGGGCTGTGCTGCACAGTGAGCAGTACTGCCATTTACTGTCTCCAGCCTCTGAATGCAGACACTGAACTTTCCTCATAGAGATGCATCGATTCAATAAATCTCTATGAGTAAATGCTGATTGGCCAGGGCTGTGTCTGACTTGTGCTGGCTCTGCCCCGATTTGCCTCCTTGACAGTCTCAGCCAATCCTATGGGGAAGCATTGTGATTGGCACAGAGAATCACTTCTGATGATGTAAGCAAGCGGGCAGATCAGGGGCAGAGGCAGCATCTGCAGACTTGAATAAAAGTAAGATTTTACTATATTTAGAGAGGCAAGGGAGGATGAGAGGTGAGCTAGATGGTGGTTTTAACATTATAGGGTCAGGAATACATGTTTGTGTTCCTGACCCTATAGTGTTCCTTTGAAGGGATTCCAAACAATGAGCACATGATTAAGCATGATTAATATTTGTCACTGTTACCTAACTTGGTAATTTGATAAACCTTAGAAGCATGAAATGTTGAGTTAGTGTGGCACTAGATGCCACCACAGGGATTCATCTCTGCTCCCTCTGTCAAGGTCTAAGAATAGAAATTTACGTCTTTGCAAAATATTTGAACATATGACTTATATTCCTATTCATGATTGAAGAAACTGGAACTGTGACCAGAAGCATTAACATCAATCAGAAAGGGAGAAATTGCAGAAAATCATAATTAAAGAAACAGATACAACATTGAGTCAAAGGTGTAAGTTTGCAAATCTGCATTTATATTTCAATATAGTTAAAAAAAAATTATTGCAACATAAAGTGATGGGCTGTTGCCTTATTAAGAACCCTCCATTTAGAGACACACATACTCTTAAGTGTTAGACAGGGCAGCAATACGGAGGGACATGCAAATATTATAGGCTATCAAGGTTTTTGAAACTGAAAGTTTCTGTTTCTACTTACTCTGTGAGTCTTGTGTTTAGTTCTCCAGCATCATTAACATCAAACCAGCCGATTTCCTGGCGCAGAACTGCGTGAAAAAAGTTCTTTCTAATTTTCCTAATCTGCCGACCAGCCGCCAAGGTCCAGAAGGAGATCTGAATATATGCAGCTAACAGTACTCCAAATCCCAAGCCGGTGTAATAATAGGCGTATCTGGGGAAAAAAGAAGTGATTTTCTACATTATATGATGTGCTCTAGTAATGGGAATATATTTGAAACATAGTAAAAATTACTACATTGCACCCAAATTATTCCAAAAGTCATAGAAACATAAAATATAAGAACCATTCTGTCCATCTAGTCTGCCCAATTTTCTAAATACTTTCATAAGTTCCTGGCCTTATCTTATATCTAGGATAGCCTTATGCCTATCCCACGCATGCTTAAAGGGACACTCCCGGCACCCAGACCACTTTTGCCCATTGGAGTGGTCTGGGTGCGAACTCCCATCACCCTTAACCTGCAAGTGTAATTATTGAAGTTTTTATAAACTGCAATAATTAGCTTGCAGGGTTAAGTCCTCCTCTAGTGACTGTCTATTAGAAGCGTCGCCAGAATCCCCATAGGAAAGCATTAAATAATGCTTTCCTATGGGAAGGTCTAATGTGCGCAGCCATTGCCCCGCATGCGCATTAGGTCTCCGCAGGGTAGGAGCATGGGCAAAGCCTGACTCAACGCTGAGAGAAATCGGCGCGGAATTCAGGTAAGTCACTGTAGGGGTTTTAACCCCTTCAGCAACATGGGATGGGGGGTGGAAGGGAGGGGGGCACTGCAGGATTCTGCAGTGTCAGGAAAACGGATTTGTTCTCCTGGCACTGAAGAATCACTTTAAACTCCTTCACTGTGTTAACCTCTAGCACTTTAGCTAGAAGGCTATTCCATGCATCCACTACCCTCTCAGTAAAGTAATACTTCTTGATATTATTTTTAAACCTTTGCCCCTCTAATTTAAGACTATGTCCTCTCGTTGTGGTAGCTAAATACTGATTCTCCACTAACTAATATGGATCTAAAAATTCAACAGTTTATTCACTAAAGTGAAAAATCTGGAATTTGAACTGAATTTCAAGTTAAAGGTCGAAATAGCTGTTCTTTGGCATAACTTTGGCCTTACATTTTAATTCTTACTTTAGTGAATAAAACCATGTGTTTTCATCTATAACTTCCACTAACACTTTCTATGTTAACACGGTATTTCTACATTGGACGGTATATTTTATAATCGAAAATTCCCTTTGTGGTTAAATAAACACACTTACTCTTAACCCCTTAAGGACCGGCCTGTTTTTGCGATGTTGTACGTTAAGGACCAGAGCAGTTTTGACACTTGTGGTGTTTGTGTTTAGCTGTAATTTTCCTCTCTCTCATTTACGGTTCCCATACAAGTTATATATTGTTTTTTTTAGGACAAGAAGGGCTTTCTTTACATACCATTATTTGTATCATGTCATATATTTTATTTTAAAAAAAATAATAAAATATGGTGAAAAATTGAAAAAGAAAACATGTTTTTGGGCTTTTACTTGTAAAATCTTTTACCTATCTACAAAAGCTAATGAAAAAAACTGCTAAATAGATTCTAAATTTTGTTCAGAGTTTAAAAACACCCAGTGTTTACTTGCTTTATTGCTTTTTTTTGCAAGTTATAGGCCTATAAATACAAGTAGGAAATTGCTGTTTCAATATATATATATATATATATTAAATTTATCAATAGTGACATTGTAACACCGTTATCTGTCATAAATCCCCGAATCACACCTCACATGTACATATTTTTTTTAAAGTAGACAACCCAGGGTATTCAATATGGGGTATGTCTAGTCTTTTTTTAGTAGCCACCTAGTCACAAACACTGGCCAAAGTTAGCATTTATATTTGTTTGTGTGTTAAAAATGCAAAAAACGCTAACTTTGGCCAGTGTTTGTGACTAAGTGGCTACTAAAAAAGGCTGAACATACCCCATTTGCAATACCTTGGGTTGTCTTCTTTTGCAAATGATATGCCATCATGGGGCTAATTCTTTTTTCTGGGCTACCATACGCTCTCAAAGGCAACCTAACCAATCTGACAAATTTCAATAAAAAAAAAAAAAGTAAAATCAAGCCTTATATTTGACCCTGTAACTTTCACAAACACTATAAAACCTCTACATGTGGGGAACTGTTATACTCAGGAGACTTCGCTGAACACAAATATTAGTGTATCAGAACAGTAAAATGTATCACAGCAATAATATCATCGGTGAAAGTGCCGTTTGTGTGTGAAAAATGCAAAAAACGTCACTTTCACTGACAATATCATCGCTTTGATATGTTTTACTGTTTTGAAACACTAATATTTGTGTTCAGCGAAGTCTCCCGAGTACAACAGTACCCCCCATGTACAGGTTTTAGGGTGTCATAGAAAGTTACAGGGTTAAACACAGTAGTAGCAAATTAAATTCTCTGGACTTTCGGCCTAGGTTGTCAGGCATGTCCCTCAAATTGCAATCATTAAAATTACTTAATTGGGTAAAAATATTACATAAATATGCACGTAGAATTTTAATATATATACATATTTATATATTTAACGTCTACATGTATATTTATAAAATTATTTATGTAATTATGTATATGGACATATATATATTTTGTATTGTTTTTATTTATTTATTTATACATAGATATATATATTATTACATTCTAAGTGTATTTTGATATAAATATATATATATATTAATTTTAAAATACTGTTAGAATAAAATTACATATGTATTAAGGCCGTTTGGCCTGTATTTGTGGGAGATTTGTCACCTGACTCCATATCGCTTGAGGTCAGCATCAGAATGGTTTCCACTTCCGTGTCATCCAGACGCCATTTTACTTGATTACGCCATGAGGTTTCTAAGCTGAGCTGTGTCAGGAATCCAGCCTACAGGCTTTTCCGGCCTACCACCTTCTTTCTTCAATCCATCGCCGTGGATGGTGTCCAAGTGACTCACAAACCGTAAGTCGACCTACCCGTTACGCCAGGCAGCAGTCCCACGGCACCATGCATGGGTAAGGTCCTCACTTTACGGCTGCATTTTGTCTAAGTCTGTTCTAAAACCATTGCATGTTCGTGCATATCATTCGTTTAAACTCACTTGTTTATATCTGTCACTGGCTCATTTCGAGCATTTCGAGCATATTGTATATTGTCGAAAGGGCACTGTTCGTTTCCCTGTCATACAACTATAATGCTGGGTCATAGCTCACGAACAATGTTTCACATAAACCACATTGACCCCTACAGGTCACTCTTAAAATCTCACGTTAACCTTGCATTTGGATTAAAGGGTATTTTTACCATACAATCAGCATTTCTGACCCCTACTGGTAAACAGCAAAACTGTCTTCACATGTCATATACAATTTACCAGCCAATATAAATTACACATAAGATTGTTTTAAACATAACCATAAACCATAAATTAAACTCCCGCACTGGCTCAACTTCAGGTTTAATTCACAATAATTTACATTTCACATCAAGACCAACAGTGGTTCTACCAACACTGCCACCTACAGGTCTGTCAAGTACATTGACAATTTTCATGAGGTTTTACAAACACCAAAACACTGACACCTATAGGTTAACAGACAAACAACATTTCACATACCAATCAGTATCCAACTACACTGCCACCTATAGGGCACTCGGCAGATCTCCAGTGCACTTGCATTTTGCAACACCATGTTCACTGACCACTACCATTCAATAAGACATACAACAATTCACATAGCAAGTAGTATATCAACATCTGGTATAAATACACATATTATTACACAGTAGCACACGCATCTGTATATACGTAACTGGTAATATAGTTCACATACATTTTTCACAGCACGCTGCTCACACAACAGACTTTCCCCTAGCAATGGGACATACAACATCCAAGGTGGGGACAGACCACATTTTCACTTGTACATACGGCATTTAATAGGTTAAGGTTGATACATATTTAACCAGTATGGCTACGATGTTTAATATTTACACATCACGTCACTTTACTTTTCACATATACTGCACGTATTAAGATAAGCATGGTCTATGCCAGATTTCCTTATGCCATACGGTTTTATCCATTCAGGTTACAGTTACTACTAAAAAACCTATACGGATTGTCAGGTTCAATACCATACTACCAGGTACATACACCTGCTCACGTAGTTATCCATCTCTTACCTTCCCTGGAATAGTAATAGCGTACTGGCAATTAGGGTTCTAGGGCCCAATAGGTATTACCCCCCTTTTTCTCTGCATTTCATTTAGGTTAGTGGTCCCGCGAGGCCAACACCCTGCCTCACACTCGGAGGCATACACCCCTCGGGCCACTCGTGAGCTAGCTGCCTCGCATTGTATCATAGAGAGGGCCTCACCTGTCACTCCCTTTCCTATTTTCTGGTTACTGTCACCGAGAGGCCAACATCCTGCCACAATGTTCGGTGGCCACAAAAAATCCCCTCGCGCCAACGCATAGATAGAACCTCTCAAGCCACTTGGCAACTAGCAGGGCCTCACCAGTCACCAAAAAACACCAAGCCTAATCGTTTTGCCTTACGGCTTAGCTAGCAAGCCAGTACAAGACCCCTGGGTACAAATAATAATTGCAATCTTTATTGTTATTTAAGTATTTCTCAAAAAGATGGTGAAGAATCACCTCTTCCTAGCACCCCGGCTAGAATTGATACACCTTCAAGCAGAGTAAATGTTGCTAGTCCAGCAGCAATCAGATCCTGGACGATCCCACACATTACCACCGACCTAAGGAGGCGACAAATCCCCTACCCTGCCACAGCAAGGAAAGCAGAGTTATTTAAACTTCTCCATACATCAACGGACAACAGGGAGGCAGGGGAAGGCCCAGCAACACCAACTCAGGTGACACCCAGGCCATGCTAGCCTCACTCATAAACTCATGAGCCAAAAATTTTACGACAGACTGGCAACCTCACAAGGCTGGGCCTCACGCTACTGTACAACTAGCACCAACCGAAGCTCGGTTACCTGGTACAATCAATTCTTATGACACACAAGACGTTAACCCTGCACATATGATCCCAGCACATTGTGGAAACAAGGCTTATATATGTATGAGGATGTATCTGTGATGGTCAGATCCAGGGATTCCAGGTAAATCGGGAACTGACCATCCCTTGGTTGTGTTGGCATTTGGAATATGTAGAGATGTTTATTTGTGCAGGTACCCATACGGAAGGGATTTTGTCCCAAACAAACGGACGGGCACTCTCAGGCTCCAGGTACCAGCACCTCTGAACTACCAGAGACAATTGGTATGAGTAGTTGCATTGCATATAGACTGTTGCATATATGTTCAAATGGTTCAGGGCACATGACAAACCATGTGTCCCAATACAACTTACAAAAAACTTACTCACGGGGGTGGAGCCAACCGCGGAACCAGCTGGACGCACACTAGCCGAGCTCTGGCGGACCAGCAGGGCAATCGATGGCCATCAGGCCGAAAAGACAAAATGGGACACCCCAAAAAGTCAGGGGCGACCGCCCAACATCCAGGCAAGCCCCCAGGACAGAAAACGGGCGCCCTGAACAAATACTTCCATGACAGAACTACTGCCCAAAATGCCGAGGTAAACCCCAAGATGGCGCCAGGCACGGCGCACGGCGAAATATCATCCCCCCCTAGCCTGTGCACCTCTATAGGATCAACATCCCCAACTACAGACCCTGACATTAGGGAACTCCTGCAAAACTTACCTTCAAAGCAGGATCTGTAGGGGATGTTGCATAAGCTGGAAGTCAGCTTTCAAAAGAAGATGACCACTGACATCAAACAGGTGGGAGACAGAGTCAGTGCACTAGAGGACAATCAAGACCACACTTCTACACAGATCCAACAACTACAAGTGACTGTGGAAGCACATAGCATACAAATGGCACAAATGTACAGAGCCTTAGATGATTTAGACAATAGGGGGCGCCGTAATAACTTGAGAATAAAGGGCCTCCCAGAAACCGAGGGAGAAAATCCTTCAAGCATACTACAAGAGCTATTTAGCTGCCTGCTCAACCAAGAAACCAGTGAACCTATTCTCCTAGACAGGGCACACAGAGCATTAAAAGCAAGAAACACCTCATCGGACTCCCCCAGGGATGTCATCTGCAGATTACATTATTTTACTGTCAAAGAAGAAATCCTAAAAGAACTCCGCCAAACAACCCAACCTCTCCTATACAGAGGCACTCCAATCCAAATATATCCAGACCTTTCCTGGATGACACTACAGGCTAGAATAATGCTGAAACCCCTCACAGACGTACTCCGTACCAGAAACATTAGATACAGATGGGGTTTTCCACTATCACTTACAGCCACAAGCAATGGAGTAACAGCAATTCTTACGTCAGCAACAGACGTAGCAGTATTTACCTCAGCACTCAACCTACCAGAAATCCACCTACCTGACTGGTACGGCCCAGTCCTGATGCAGCCACACCAATCACGCCAACAAAGAGCGAGGTGGCAAGCACCATCAAAACAACGCAGACATGAAGCGCAACCACCTCAACTCAGAGATACTCCCATACAAGCAGAACGGTCCCCCCGCTAAACAGACACGGTACTAATTACAACCTCCAAAAATCCTGGCTGACCTAAAGAGACAACATCCTAAATATTAATACAGACAAGAAACTCCCCCACGAAAACAACAGCACCTAACGGAAGGAAAAGTTCCTGTACAATCAAACCCCTGAAAGAACAACCCAAAAGGGAAAGACAACACGGGACTGTGAAAATCCACGACCCGAATTCTCCACAACACCGGACAAAGGATGAACACAGATCTAGGTATACAAACACAACGGAGAGAACATCTTCACAACCAATATAATTCCACTACTAGGTCCTATAGAAGCAACCGAAACAAATGACCTGCAAGCATACCAAAGCGATGTTACAACACCATCAGAAACAGTCACAGCCACACAAACGGATGCTGCACAACCAGGACAACTAACTGAAATCCAAAATAGATGAACAAGGACTTACCTGACTCATAACGCAAGTACTTCTTATCATACCCATCCATCTATATTCACTACCCCTCCTAAACCCACCTAACCCTACCCCTACCTCAAACCCACTTAGTGGAAAACCATTACTGTAATGTATTATTTCAATGCTTTACCCTACAGTTATGTATGTATATATCACTATATGCCTTGGGAACTACAAATGCACAAGATCTTGAGAACCTAAATGTCTAATGTAAAAGGTACAAATAATAGGACCAAAATCACAATATCTGGGGTTAACCATAACTAGAATTAGCATACCTAAATTGGAAGAAGCGACAAACCTAATAACGTGCCAGAGGGAGAAAATGGGAGTGTACATCTCACAGGAGTGACAGACACCTTGAACTCCTCCCACCAGCCAGGAACACGAACCAACCAAGACTACCAACCACCGTCCCCCCCTATAAACCATCGATCAGGCCTGAAAAACCAATAAAAACCACTCACTATACACAACGATTGCCTTGTGGCAACCGCCACACCGTGTTACTAACAAACCAAGCTTCACACCCCCCAACCACCTAGACCACCCACAGCGAACCAAAAGGCCCACGCGGTGCCTTACTGTATTCCCAAAGCTACACGGCAGATTGGAGGAAAGCCACCATCCGAAGAGGCCTACCTCCCAATACTTACCAAAATTAATTTGCTCGCTCAGCGGGTGACCTGAAGAAATTGTATATAGTTTGAAGTTCAAAGTTCTACACTGTTGTTTTATTCTTTTTGAAAACCCCCTACCCTTTCTCCCACCGTTCTCCCTGTGCAGCTATCAAGCCATATACCACACAAACGCACAACTAGCTCAACGCACACATGGCCACAATCACAGTGACAACCCTGAATGTCAGGGGCCTAAGTACCCCAACCAAGAGATCCCAAAACCTCAATGAAATGCACAAATTAAAAGCAGACATAGTGATGCTACAGGAAACCCACTTTAAAGCTGGTCAAGCCCCCAATCTAAGGAGCACACACTACCCGCAGGGGTTCTTTAGCAACTACTCGGCAACCAAAGCCAGGGGTGTAGCCATACTAATAGGAGCCAAAGCATCCTTTACACACAAGGAACATT